CAACACAACAACACAACAACAACAACAACAACAACAACAACAACAACAACAACAACAACAACAACAACAACAACAACAACAACACCAACAGCAACAGCAACAGCAACAGCAACAGCAACAGCAACAGCAACAGCAGCAGCAGCAACCACAACAACAACGATCACAACAGCAACTCCAACAAGAATGACTAACAACAACAACAACAACAACAACAACAACAACAACAACAACAACAACAACAACAACAACAACAACAACAACAACAACAGCAGCAACGGCAACAGCAACAGCAACAGCAACAGCAACAGCAGCAGCAGCAACCACAACAACAACGATCACAACAGCAACACCAACAAGAATGACTAACAATAACAAAACCAACAGCACGAAAACACAGCAATAATAGTAACAACAAGTAAATAAGCGAAAGCTCACATTAATCATAACGAGACGAACAACAACAAAGAACACCAAGACGACCAACACTATAAACAACAGGAGTATCAACAATAATAACAATAACAAAACAAGACGAATAACACGATATAATAAGAACAGTAAGCTCAACAAGAGGAACAGGATAACACCAATGAGAACAGCACTAGCGACACATGATAACAACAAAACAACCACACTAATACTGTCAGTAAGAATAACAATACCAACAACGGCGATAACTACAATACACATAACAACAACAACAACACCAACACCAGCAGCAGCAACAACAACATCAACACCAACAACAAGAACAATAACAATCACAGGCACAAGCAGAAGCATAACCACACCGACAACATAAGAAGAAGAGGCTGGGCCTTGGACCCGAAGCGAGGCCCCAAATGTAAGCTTAAGGACCTGATATTTCAGATTGCTTCAGTGTTTAGGGATTACGTTTTTTTTGTTTGAACGCCTTTTTCCGACTGCAAGAGGGTTTAGGGTTTAGGGACCCCTTCCTTAAGTGCTTCAGGTTGGGCTTGGACCCCGAATCTTAATGACCGTTCAACCCGACGATCTCCTCTTCGGTACCCTAACCCCTAAAGGGAACTCCAGAAAGTTGGAATATGGATTAATGGTAGGATCCCCTATAATTTACCTTAAAGGGATTATGATAATGATATTCCAACTTTCCGGCTTCTACTGTAAACCCGAAGATCCCCTAATATAGGGGCCTTCATCATTAGAATAAGGTTCCTTTAGGGGTCTATACAGGTTCCTATAAGGGATGCTATAAGGGTACTAAAATATGAGGGCCTTGTAATTAGAATAGGGTTTTGGGGCCCTTTGTACTATAGTTACAATACGGAAACCCCAAAATAGTATAGGTCATTATTCCTGAAGTAAACGCACTGGAAAACCTGAAACGGCCTCGACTGTACGGCCACCGAAGTATCGGCCATCCATGACCTTGGGGACTAAACCCTAAGCCCTAAACCCCATCCTTATTCAGGGTATCGGGGGTTGGGGTTTAGGGTTTAGGGTTGGGACTTCAGAAGCGAGCGTCTAGGGCGTAAGGCTTTACAGCTTTTATCAGTCGGCTTTAAGTAGAAGTATCCTCTGGGATTACACGACACTAAGATCGAAAAGTGATTCGTCCGGAACAGCTTGGGTATCGTCGGGGCTGCAGGTTTGCGGTGCTGCTTTAGCTTGGGGCTTGGGGTTCAGGGGATCTTTCAGACCAGAGCTCCCCAGAGTTTCCAAAATCCCTGAATTAAGGAATATACCTTAAATCATATTAGGGATCCTACTATAATTTAATAAGGTATATTCCTTAATTAAGGGATTTTGGAAGGTCTGGGTCTGTGACATCCTGCACTTTGTCTTGGGAGGTTGCTGGTGGCCATGTGGACCGCCTGATTAGCAACCCCCCTATCACATGAGATTATAGCAAGGATTCTAGGGTCAAGGTTTTTTTTTTTACATGTGCTAGACCCGACCCTCCCATCGAATCCCCTCGCAGCGAGGCACACGGTGAGACAGCCACCCTTTCAGTGGCATGAGAAAACTTTCACGTCATGTGTAGATCTCGTCATATGTAGTAGTCGACAAAGGACCAGACCACAGAAAAGAGTAACTCACGAAGTTCACAAGTCCCTCCACGACGCATATTCCAATCCCCCTCTCCGCTCTGCCGCCTCATCCCAGTCTTCAATCAAAGCTTGGTCAACCTCTACGTCCGAAGAAAAATCTGCCGGGAGCTCATCACCCTCATCCAGAGGAGGAGGACTAAGTAAAGTGAACGGGTCAAAGATCTCATCCGGCACCTCATTCACAACGGCTTCTTCTGTAGCTGCTGCAGCACTTCCATGACTGAGATCACGTTCCTCGAGTTCCCCGCTGAGCACTTCCCGGCACTCACGCGCACGATCTCGGCGGTCAGGATCACCTTCACGATGATGATGTTCCACATGCCGATCCAAGAGCTCCACCGTCTCTCCATCGACCTGGTCCACACTCTCTGCATTGGTCTCCTGCTGTTCCGGAAGTGTCTTTGTAGCTTGATCTTCGCCTTGAGGAACTATCACCCAGACAAAGTCGCCACCAAAGTCAACATAGTCAGGGACCCCATCAACATCAAACCCACGTAGCTCTCGACCATGTGAAGACCTCCTGGGGCTCCGGGAGCGAGGTAGACCTGATCGACTGCTTCTCAGGCGCTCGGTAATCTCTGCCACAACCATTCTGGCCACCGTTCTCGCCATTCGGAGTTCGGGAATAGACACCTGCGAAGTGGGTGCTGCCTCCCAGTCACCAATACCCCCCGCCAGTGATGTGGCATCAGAGTCCTCCGTTATGTCACCACTCGACCCAGACTCCACAGGGAAGAACTCCTCCTCGTTGTCGCCAGATGCATCCCCATCTCCCGTGGTGATACTGGTAGTAGAGGCAAGCCAGACATCCATAGGCAGTGTAGTCGTCGAGGTCGAAGTAGTAGAGGTGGACTCATTCTCCCCAGCCAAGAAATCGTCCACATAACTGGCCGACACATAAGCAGAGCTCTCGTCAAAGGGTGTAACCGGGGCTGCCGGATCATAGACCGGGGCAGACGGGATTTGGAGTGGCGTGACCGGGGCAGCAAGCGACATGGATCCAAGGACAGCAAGTGGCGTTGTAGGAGCAGCAGGGTCAAACACAGGCGCCGATGGAATAGGTAGAGGACTTCCCGGTGGAACATCTCCTCCCATGAGCGGCGTCGTAGGCGCCAACAACCCCTGGGCTGAGCTCCAGTTGGTGTAGGTGGGCTGGCCGGGTCCCAACCCCACTGCATCGCCCATGTCTCCAGGGTGTGGAACCTGCCTGGTAACCTCGACGGTGGCATCATGCTCCTGGTCGGCGTAGACGTAGACGAAGGCGACGAAGAAGACATCATCCCCATGGGTCGAGCTGAGGGACGACCCGTGCCAGGCGGCAGCCCAGGGCGAACCATTCGTGGCTCCGGAGTCGCCAGCCGTGGTCGTGGGCCTTCCCAAGACGACGATGCACCCCCAGAGCCTCCAGCAGCCACTGTGTCCATGGCAGCGTGATCACGTTTAAGAAAGGGCCGGGGTGACACACGCATCCCTTGGTTCGCTGCTGGCCCAGCAGGAGGGCGGGTAGGGCGAAGCTGCCAACGCCTGCCAAGTTCCTGTAGTGCTCGCGCCCCACGCTCACGACTCTCCCGGTTGGCTCTTTCGAGGATGTCCCGGTTCATGCTTTCGCGTTGCGTGGCGACCACGGATGCTGTGATGGCATGAATATCCGTCAAAAACGTCTCCGCCCAATCAGCTAGCATCCGGTGCTCAGCAGCAGACCTGGGAGGTGCCGTCCTCGGTTCGCCCTCCGGGATGGTGAGTTGACGAAGCAGGTTCGCTCTGTAGTCCAGCAGCGCCTCCGAGACCAGCTGAACAACCCGGAGGTGCTGATACACGCTCCAGCGTAACCCAGGGCCCCAAGCAAGGGACGACTTGCTCCGGACTTCCCGAAGGGCACTACCCACCAGTTCACAAAGAAGGTTGCGAATGTTGTTCTCGCCCAGGTTCGCCTCCAGAGTGTTGTGAACGACCAAATCATCCGTAGTCAAAGTGGAAGATTCCTCCGCACCCGTAGCCAACTGCAGTAGCAAAGCAGTATCTTCCGGCTGGGCGACCAAGGCGCTTAAGGGCAGTTCCCTAGCAAGGTCACCCTCATCTTCCATCTCTCCAGTCGTAGTCGTAGTCGTAGAGGTCCACGAAGTCTCCCCCAGGAAGGTCCAGTTACCCAAGTACAGAGACACCGCATACTCAAAGGGAGCACCCGAAGCTGTAAGAACTGTCAGTGCCAAAGTAGTCGTGGTAGTCGTGGTACATACCCACATACGGCACGGGAGAGGGTGAAGGCCAGCCAGAAGGTCCAGGAGCAGGTCACCCGCCATGGTCGCCGGGGAGGTCACAGCAGAATTGTGTAGATTCACCCCAGAGCTGAACCACCAGGTCGAGCTCGCGGAAGTCATCATGAAGGTCAGCGTAGAAGTCGAGGAGGTCTGCTTAGGAGTCAACCACCAGGTCGAAGTCGGAGAGGTCATCGGCGAAGAGGTCGGCGTCGATAAAGAGCTCGCAGGGAAAAGCATCACGGGAAGTGTCACACAGCTCCTCGTCGAAATTGAAAAGATCGAGGATGTCCATGTGGCAAAGGTCCGGGAAGAAATCTCAGTAGAAGTCACCCACGTCCACGGCCACGGGGAGTACGAGGTGGAGCACGTCAAGAGGGACGTCGTCAGAGAGGGCGAGGAAGCACACAGCGAAGGCGGCGTCGGCGCATCGCGGAAGACATAGAAGAGCACATAGCGGAGCAGCATGAGCACGCGAAGCGAGGCCATCATGCGGGGATGCAAGAGGAGGTCAGCAGGGAGTCGCTAAGAGAGGCACAGGCTGCAACATGACAAAGGTTGTCCAGAAAAACACACATCAGCTGGTAGGCTTCACTCGTGTTCGCAATGTAAACCTGTCACGTGTCAATGCGCAAGACGTAGACCAGAGCAGTAGTTAGAATCTAAGCGAGAGTTGCCTGCCCCTGCACCATTTAACATCCCATTTGTCAACCCATTCTTGCTGCAGCATCGCCCATTGCGCTCTGTCCAGAGCAACTTCCTGCCAAGACGTGCCAAAGGTGGAGGAAAGCTCTCTTTCAAGACCACACGGGTAGAAGGAGCCCGGATGCCGGATTCCAGTGTGAAGGGATAGCGCCTGCTGGGCCTGCCACCATTTCATACCCTTCCAGGACAAGAGCTGCGATACAATGCCCGGTGAGGAGAACACCCCAAGGCCCGAGTCCTGGGACTGCCTAGCCCAGTGCCCCGCCAGGCTATGTTGAAGTCTACGGACACGAGTGCTCCAACGGTCAACACCTTGCTGAACAAGCCACGCCCGAACAAATCTGCATGTGCGCGTGTTCCACTGTACCCAATTCTCGTCTTTGTCTCTGCCTAGTCGGAATGCATCACGAAGAATGTGTGTCTGAACAGTATTCAGCAGCGCCAAATCGTCCGGTGACCAGAAAACAGCGCCAGCGACCCAGGTGAAGGAGGATTCAACCAACGAGCGGAGTTTTTTGATTTTAATGCCCCAGCTGCCCTTGGCCCGGAAAATAGGCCGTGCAACAGCAAAGGCAGCTCTAGCACGTGCAATGAGGTCCCTACATTGTCTGCTGGCATTGCCCTCAAAGGAAAAGTCGAGGCCAAGAACACGAATGGTCTGAGAGGGAGGTAGCACAGCAACAACTTCCTCACCGATTTTGACCTGCCTAGCTCCGACATAGTGTTCAGTGGCGATGACGGCAGTTTTGTCGGTGGCAAGTTCAAGGCCAACATGGGCCAGTGCTTGGTTGATGTGAGAAATCTTCCTTGCCAATTGCTCGGCAGACTGTTCAAATAAGAATATATCATCCTGGTACTGAAGGAGGTCAATCCCGACGTTCTCGAATGGCTTTGGAAGGGACTCCCAGAACTGACTATGACGGACATCCTGTAACACATCTTCCAAAATGATACCGAAGAGTTCAGCAGACTCCGGCGACCCCTGTTTGATTCCAACATCACAGTGAAAGGAGAGGTGCCCACCACCAGGCACAAGCCCTTTTAGATAGTTGGGACGCAATTGATGCAGTAAGAAGCGGAGTTCACGACCAAGCCCTTGGAGCTGTAGACGTTGAAGCAAAAAGGCAGCAACTCTGGATCTAGATATCCTGTCAAAGGCGCCCCGCACGTCCAACTTCGCGATCAACAGCCCTAGCTTCCACTCCCTCGAGGCGTCCCTAACACGTGACATCGCCCCCACCAAGTCAGCAGGTTGTCTCCCCGGGCCACAGCAGGAGATATCCGATCCTCTACGGAGCAGAGGAAAGGTACGAAGCATAACAAGTCTGGTGGTCAACTTCAAAAGTGCACTAGACATAGCAATGGGTCGCAAATCCTTCGGAGATTCAGGTGTGGACACCTTTGGGAGGAGGGCGAGAAATGCAACGTGCCAGTCAGCGGGGACCTCGCTCGTACGGATAACGTGATTGAGGAACGCCAGGAAGTCCCCCGACATGGTCTCATGAACTGAGAGTGCTCTGAGAAGATCAACCCCAACAAGGTCAGGTCCAACGGAGGCGCCACGCTTCATACGACCAAGTTCACCCTGCACTTCTTCAATCGTAAAGGGCTGCCACTCTTGCTCAACCTCAACCCCGGCAATCATTTGAAGAAGTTCATCCTCCCATTCAGGGGCTTTCCCAGCCGTGAGCTTGTTGTGGAAATGTTTGTCAACCATCTGAGTGAGCTCCTCCTCCGTGCGATCGACCAAAAGTTTGCCCCACCACCCCGCATTCCTACTCCGCTGATTCTTCCAGGACCTGTAAGCACTCCAATCCCCACCAAGAATCCTCTGAAGTCGTGTTTCCTCCCATTGCCGACGTGCATACTTACTGGCCTTATGAGCACGTTTCCAGTCTGCAGCGAGACCCGTCTGTTTCGCAAGTTGGAAGAGTTGCTTGACTTCATCGGTGTCCAGGTACTTACGCGCTGGGATGGGTTTGGTAAACTCCTTCGCAAGTTCCATGATGTCATCAGCATCAACAATGTCGCGATGTGGCAAGTCACCCAGCACCCATCTTGCTCGAGAGTCCCCCTGCCAAAGTGTGTGCCTGGTGGAGTCGAGGAAAAGGAAGGTCTTGAGACAGGCATGATCCGACCCAATTTTGTGCCGAGCAGCAGCATCAACATGAATCCGGTTGAGGCATCCCCGACGAGTCCAAACTCCATCGATCTGCCTTCCTTCTCTGCTGGTGTCTCGTGGGTAGTGTGTGGCCAGTGTCCTGTCTTCCTGACGAGGTGCAACAGGACGGAAGCCCATTTTGCAAGCTTCATCTGCAAAAACGTTCAGGTTCTGGGACCCAGAGGAAAGCAACACATCACCATTGTCATCATCATGCCAGGTCGTAGCCTCATTCAAGTCAACTCCGATCACCGCCTGTAGATGTCTCCACTTACCCCCACTGCGAGCCAAGTATTCTGAAACCGCCTGTTGGTAGGTGACGTTGTTCACCCCAGTATGACAGTGCAGCGAACCAAGAAGAATTCTCCCGCTGCCTTTAAGCTTGACGACCGCGAACATGCCTCGTTTGGTGGCCCTTTTCTCCACCACCGAGTCAAAGAGATCACGTGAAACTCCCACTCCACATCCCCTCCATTGATGGTTGTCACGATGGAGAAGCCAGTGATGGGTATCAGTGTCAAAATCATCCCATCCAAGATTTCCTCTGGAAACCTCTTGAACGAGAACAATGTCAGCACCTGGTTCAGCGGACGCCACCTTTTCGACTGTCTGCCCACCCAGATTCCAACAAATTAAGTTCACGCAGGTCCCCTGTTGATCATCATGACATCGCCCCGGAGACACACGGGCGGCATCACTCTTACCTCCTCACTTCTCCCTCAGCAGGGCTGCCTGGGCCATTTCCCAGGTTGCTCCTGTGCACTGTGTAACAGCACGCACATCCACCCAACCACTCAGGACGTCGACGTAGTCCTCCGCGCGAGTGTGGTCTCGTCGGTGTGCTGTGCTCCCAAGCTTGAATTCGCCACACCATGTGGTTCCGGTGCCCCAGTCCAGGTCGTAGTTTTCCGGATCCGTGGCAGACATGTGGCGAATGGCTCCGTTCTCATCCTTAGACGACATTGCAAGCTGTATGGCAACACGCCGAAGCATGGAGCACATGGCAGAGCGACGGCGAGCTTCAGGTGTCTTCACGAAGGAGCACCATGCATGCTTCACATCACCCCCATTCTTGGCAGTGCTCTCAAGCTGAAATCTCCCTTCTCGGATGATCTTGATGACCTTGAGCATACGAGCACGAGTGGCCTGGAAATCCTCCCCTTCACGATGCACGAATCGTAGGAGGCCAAAGGAACGCCTCGGTCCGAAGATGACGAGCTTGTGGGAGTCCAAATCATTCTTCAACTCATCACTATTCAACAAGCGTTCACTTTCCTCATCGATGATCGCCCTTCGGGTATCTGCCATCCAACCACCAATCACGAGCGTGCGCATGTCCTCCTCACTCAGACGATCTTTGCGTTGACTATCATCCTTGCGAGGTCCTCCTTCAGGATGTCTCCCTTCTTTTTTCGCAAGGTACTCTCCCCACGGATCACCCGCTTGCTGCTGACCGTCAGGCGCCCCAACCTGCAGGTGAGTGACTTGTTCACGAAGCTTCTCCAAATCCTGGGTCAAGTCGTCCACCTTGCGACTGGTAGCATCCCCCTGCGCCCTCAGTGTCGAGATCTCCTTGTCTGTCGCCCTCTGTCTGGTGTGGATCGCCTTGGACTCCATTCTCTGCTCACGCTGCGCCTGTTCCACCTTGACGAGTCTGGCTTCCATGGTCGACCATACCTCCTTCATTTCCTTCATGTGAACTCCCAAGATTTCACGCAGCTCATCACTAGACATCCCCCGGCGGTTGGAGATTCGACGACGTCTGGTTGGAGAATCCTCACCCTCAGGGTCATGTTCTTCCTTCACCTGCGGCTCCAGACCATCGGAACGCACAGGTCCGCGTTTCCTCTTCCCCATCACATCGTGCGGCTGGATTTCCCCGTCACTCTCAGGCAGGTCATCCTCGGACTCGTAGATATCCGTGGGCGAGGGCACCTCCACCACCATCCCATCCGTCTGATCAGCCCCAGGAGCACCAGTACCTCGCCCATCAGCCATATTGAAGTCGCCACAGTCGAAGTCGCTCACCGGACAGCTACCCCTGGATGCAGTGCCAAGCAATCCTTTTGGAAAAGCACTTGAGCCAAAATGGCTTGAGCCAAAATGGCTACGGCTCAAGCCATTTTGGCTCAAGTGCTTTTCCAAAAGGGTTGCTTGGCACTGCATCCAGGGGTAGGGTCAAGGTTTAGGTTTTAAGGGTTGGACTTGAGTATGTGTGCATGTCTGTATACATATACTGACACATATTGAAAACTATATACATATATATATATGTATGTATCTATCTGTATGTATATATATATATATATATATATATGTGTGTGTGTGTTTGTGGTTATATGTATATACTTATATGTCTATATATATATATATGTATATATATGTATATATATATATATATATATATATATATATTAGTAAAAACTTATATACATATATGCATATCAGTATCAATATATATATATATATATATATGTATATATGTATATGTATATGTGTATATGTGTATACATATACACATTAAAATAAACACTAATATATATATACACACACACAGAATTACATAGTATATATCACTAAAAACATGTTGATATGTATACATATATATAGGTACACACAAACATATATATATATATATATATATAACATGAGATCTCTCATATTGTAGCGCTTGGAGTTCTGGCTTGTCCTGGTTTCAGAACGGAACCCTGAAGAACTTGCCTCCATGGAAGGTAAAGTCAGTTCTGCGAGTAGATGTCTCAACCCGATCACATGCATGGATCTGTACAGGAGGATCCTACTATAATAAGTCATTAAGGTATATTCCTTAATTAAGGGATATGATATGAGGGGTCCTACTATAATATCTTACTAAGGTCTACAGTAAACCCCATAAAGTTGGAAACCGGATTAAGGCCAAATCGTGCTGGGATTCCCTATACATGACTCTTAGGGAATGAGGCTATTGGGTTTCCAACTTTTCGGCTTCTACTGTAAACCCTGAACCTTACGGCTGAAAACCGAACTTCGAGGCCTAAAGGTCTAGGACCCAGAGTAGGCCCTTATTCCCTTTTTTGAGGCTTAGGTTCCCTTATAAGCACCTTTAAACTAAAAAGGGCACCCTTTTCATTCCTAGGTTACTCTTGGGTCTAGAGGTGCACTGCCCTTCAGCCTGAACCCCAAAGGCCAACTCTCTGGGCCCCAGCAGCAAACACCACAAGCACTGAGACAGCACATAAATAAGCTAGACCCAAGAGTAACCTAGGAAGAAAAAGGGTGCCCTTTTTGGTTTAAAGGGGGCTATAAGGGAACCTAAGCCTCAAAAAAGGGAATAAGGGCCTACTCTGGGTCCTAGTAAGCATGAGTACATAAACAGTATTCATAGTCATAGTCACACTCAGATATCAGAATCATAACACGAATCATACCAGCGAAACCACAACGGCCGGGCCTGAGCTACGCTCCCATAAACCTTATGCCCTAATCCCCCCCCCTTCACAACAAAGTTTAACAGCCCTCTTATGTAGCCTTTGTAGTAGCCCGTAGATTGAACCCTTAAAGTTACGCCTATGCGCTCATGGTGACCCTTATCGTAACCCGTAGACCCTTATACCCTTATAGCGACCCTTATAGTAACCCTTACACCCATATAGTCACCATTATGCTATATAACTAAATGCTAAACTCTGAACCCTAAACCCTCAACCTTAAACCTTAAGTCCTAAACCCCATGAACTCTAAACCCTTATGCCCTAAACCCTGACCCTTAAACCCTACGGTTGATGATATAAATCATGCATTACCATTAGTGAGAAATACACCGTAATTCCCATAGTTCAGGGTCCTCAAGCTAATGCAGGATGTATATCATCAACCGTAGGTCCTGGGCCCCCGGGCACGAATGCACTCTTCGGCCTCAGCGGAAACCTTGAACTTCACGCAGACGATGCCCTGCCGGCTTAGGGTTTAGGGCTTAGGGTTTAGGCTGTTTAGGGTTTAGGGCCAGTCCCAAAGGGGGCTGTTTAGGCCAGTTTACGGTTTTGGGGTTCAGAGCAGTTTAGGTTTAGGGCTTCGGGTTCAGGATTTAGGGTTGAGGATGATTTAGGGTTCAGGGTTCAGGGGGGGTTAGGGTTTCGGGTTTAGGGTTTAGGGTTCGGGGGGGGTTAGGGTTCATTAAAGGCTTCCGGAAAGGAACAGAATAGGCTTCTGGAAGCGGTTAACTACCGGGCAGTAGCATTGCTTTCTTCCTAGACCCTCCATCTACCCTCTGTTAGACCCGAAATGCCCCTTATTTGGGACCATATACCCCTATTTGAGGGTACAAGGAGGGTCCTGGTTTAGTGTTTCCTCCTAGGGCTTCTTGAAGGCTTCTTGGGTGGATTCAATGTACGTAGGAGCTTGTTTTTTTTTTCACAGGGGTCTATAAGGGGTACTATAAGGGATCTATAAGGGTACTATAAGGGATCTATAACGGCACTATAAGACTGTAGGAACCTGATTAAGAAACCTTGGGCCTTTGTTAGGGTTCCTGATATGAATCCTACTATTTTGGGGTTATAGGCCCAGGGCCAAGGGTTTCTAAAGCAGGTTCCGACATTAGGGTTGATTTAGGGTCCTCTCGGGTGTCTGTAGTTCCTTTAGGGTTGTCTGACTTCTGCTCTTTCCATTGGCAAGTTTGGAGTAGGGTTTAGGGTTTAGGGTTTAGGGTATAGGGTTTAGGGTTCAGGGTTTAGGGTTTAGGTTTCGGCGCAGCTGTGATCAAACTTCTCGACTGTCTGGACCTGCTTTCGCGGCGTGGGGGACCAAACTCGTTGAATGGCTTGCTCTTCCTCCAACTACCCTCTATTATACTCTGCTCTGAATACCCACTATGCAGAATAATAAGGGCTCTATAAACGGGTATTGTGGGGGTGCTGGAAAACATTCGTGTGTTCGAACAGTTTCTTCACGTAAGCTGTGATGGCTCCCCAACCCAAGCGACTCTAACGAGGGCTATAGGGTTTGCGGTTTAGGGGTTTAGGGTAAAACGGTTTCCGGATCAAGGGTTAGATCCTGCCAACCCTAAAACTTCAACCACCTAAACCCTAACAGCAAAAACGCCCCAAGCCTCAAAACCTAAATCCCAGACCCTGAAACCTAAACTTCTAATCCCGTAAACTGTATACCTACTCTTTCCCGAAGGCTCTGTCTTCTGTAAGCTTTGTGCTTGGGGCCTTTTTTTGAGCGCCGTTTTCCAAGAGGCTGCAAGTCTGCGACTTTTAAACGGGCCTACTTGGAGGATCATGGGACTTAGTAAGTAAGGTTATAAGTACCTTAATTGGGGTTATAAGTAGCTATAGATATAGTTACCTTACTTATAACCCTAGTTACTAAGTCCCATGATCCTCTAAGTAGCCCCTAAATCCCCTCTTGTAGTACAACCCCTATAGATCCCTTTAAAGGAGCCCTTTAAGGAACCCTTGTTACTAAGTCCCATGATCCTCTAAGTAGGAAGGCGTAGGGGGGCCTTTAGATTTAGGGTTTAGGGTTTAGGGTTTAGGGTTTAGGGGTTCGGCCCGATGGCCCCATCATCCTACAGGGGCCTTGCAGTAGAAGCCAGAAAGTTGGAATATCATTATCGTAACCCCTTTAAGGTAAATTATAGGGCCCACGAATCCATATTCCAACTTTCTGGAGTTCCCTGTAGGTTTTTTGGGCCCACTACACCATAATTAAACGGAACCCCTAAACTAGTGTAGGTAATGACTAAGGCTCCTTCTTCACATGGCCTTCTGGATCTTTTGAACCGTTCTCTGTTTTCGATCCCCGAAACCCTAGGGTGAGGGCCAGCGCCTGCAAATGCTGCTCGATGGGTGTGACGCGGAGAACCTGCTCAGCATTTCGGGCTTATGGGTCTTTAAGGCTTTTAGTTCATGGTTCGGATGGTATTCGAAGTCTAAAGCTCCATTCCTTGTTGACTTTAAGAACCCATAAGCAATGTAAAGTGTTAGCAAACTATGACAAAAGTCTTGCAAGCCTTAATTGCTAGAAGAGGGCTGTGGATGTATGTTCCAGCATAGTCAGGAACCCGAAGGAATAGTATTGGTAATTAATATGGGGCCTTAATAATAAGAATAAGCATTTGGTGCCCATTAATTATACTATACTCATGCTAAGGAACCTCCAAAATCGCATTGGTAATTAACTATTAAGGCCCCTTATGTCGATCCCGTATAAAAGCCCTCATAGACCCTTTAAAGGAGCCCGCAACATATTGTAGGTAATTACTAAGGCCTGTATTATTCACTCTTCCATTTTACGTTGCCGGCCTGCAAGCCCAGAACGCTACAAAATAGCAGGTTCTGAACCCCCTGACTATGGGGTATAACGGTATAACTTCTCCCTCAAAGGAGTGTTGGAGGCCTCAAAAGGCGGGATGAAGGAAGGTAGGATGATTGAGGATTCCAGGACTCCTTATATAAGGACTCGTAGCAATACCCCACCTCCTGATTCGAAGGTGGGTGCGCCAGTTTCAATCCCCAAAAGGTGAAGGTGCATCTGCCTGCACGACATAGCCATTCTATCTAGTTTAAATGACAAAATCCACCAAATAAATACAAAGCCTTCTGAAGCTCTGCAAAGCAGCTGCAGGGTTCCATAAAACACTGTAAACCCTTCTACGACCCCATGAAAGCTTAACGGTTACTTCTGGTTCTTTACTCGTCTACTACTATTAAGTCAAAGTCGGGTAGTTCTCTACATTAGGCTCCCTTCTGTGGTCCCAAACTGCAGCGGCACCTGCGGAGAAAGGACCTTAGAACGAACGAACTACCCATGTAGACTCCTCATGCCGTAGGGTCAAGATCAGGCCTGGGCCGACAAGACTTCCAGAACCAGGGTGTAAAGTTCCCAGACCTTCCAAAATCCCTTAATTAAGGAATATACCTTAAATCATATTAGGGATCCTATTATAATTTAAGGTATATTCCTTAATTAAGGGATTTTGGAAGGTCTGGGTTTTCGGTCGATGATGTAGGGCTAACGGGTCACAGGGTTAAGTTTTAGGATTCTACGAAACGAACCGACTGCAAAACAGGCGTTCACGCATGACACCGTGTCCACCGTGGCACGCAGGACTTCTCAGAGCAAAGAGTTGCCTCAACGTCAATCCCCAAAGGGTCCAAAGTACCTTTATAGTCTTTATAGTAGAATGTAGGGTTTAGGGTTTAGGGTTAGTACCGATATAGTAGAATGTAGGGTTTCTATATTAGGAATTACTATTATGACTTAGGGAAGTATCCCCCATAACAGTACATAGGACCCTTTGGGATCCCCCATTCCTTCCACAGGCTGCCATGGGGGCTGCGCGGTTACAAGACTTACTGTAAGCCTCAAACAGCCTCCGTGCACGCTGGCGATGCCACATTCCCTGCATGACGCCAGCGCATGTTCTTTGTGCGATTTTGCAGAGAAGTGATCACGAGACACCATGCGGCTAGGAAATGGTAGGAGAATGCATTCCGGAGCTCAATTAATATTCCTAGACCCTCCATCTACCCTCTATTAGACCCTAAATGCCCCTTATTGGGGACCATATACCCCTATTTGAGGGTACAAGGAAGGACCTGGTTGGTATAGTCTTTCATCGGTACTTCGACCCTGCGGGGGAGGTTTAGAGTGAAAGAGGTCGATCCAATGCAAGGTTGACAAAATTTTTACCCTAAGCCCTAAACAAAAAATCCTGGGGCCGCGTAGGGCATACCACACCCCCAAACCCTAGATAAACCTTAGATCCTAAGCCCTAAACCCTATACAAACCCCAAACCCTAAATAAACCCTGAACAGGGTCCATCCCTTAAGCAAGGCTCTCTCTGGGGACCGCCTGCCCGATCTTCTCGCACTCCTCCTGGACCTTTCGGAGAAGGCTACGTTTTGGGTTTAGGGCTTTTTAGGGTTGGGTTTAGGGCTTTTTGGGGTTGAGGGTTTAGGTGATAGGGTATTTTAGGGTTAAGGTTTTTTCTGGCTTTTTAGGGCTGAGGGCTACGATTAAAATTTTAATTTTGGAGCTTTTGGGGCTTCGGGCGTGGCTTCGGACCAGGGTTAGGGGTCCCAGACCTTCCAAAATCCCTTAATCAAGGAATATACCTTAAATCATATTAGGGATCCTATTATAATTTAAGGTATATTCCTTAATTAAGGGATTTTGGAAGGTCTGGGGTTCAGTGATTCAGGGTTTATGATTTAGGGCTAGGGTCAATGTTCAAAGCAGGTAACCTCTGAAAGAAGAGGTCGGACAAGGTGGGCTCTGTTTTCAAACCGACTCAGTCAGTTGGATAGAAGCAATAGCGCCTTAGAGAGGGCTCTCAAAGCTAAACCCAGAAAACAACATCTAAAGCTTACACCCTCAACCCTAAACCCCTAGACCCGAAAAGAGTCTTTGCAACCCCTTTGAGCACAACCCGGTTTAGGGTTCAGGGCTGCAGAAGTCCTCCCAAACTATCTCTAAGGAGCAGACTTCCTGCGCCAGCTCGGTATAGAACTCGGCTCCTCTGCAGCTGAGAAGCTTCTTCTTGCCCGAAGGCTCATAATGGCTCAAAAGCCTTACATAATAGGGTGCCCAGGTTTAGGCCAAAAGCCCTAACATATGAGTCCTTGGAGCCTTCTTGGTTACGGGTGTCAATCTCAGTGCTGCGTGTTTAGAAAGCTCGAGTTACGGACTCCGTGCTCAAGCTCAGAACTGCCCAAAACCCAGACCTTCCAAAATCCCTTAATTAAGGAATAGACCTTAAATCATAATAGGATACCTAATATGATTTAAGGTATATTCCTTAATTACGGTGAAGTCGACCGTAAAGGATTTTGGAAGGTCTGGGAAAGTCTAAAGTTTTATGGTCTTTGAAGCAGAAATCCTCAACAGAGCGGTCCGTTTATGTGTGGTCTCAGGTTCGGGACGTTCGTGTCTGTCATTTCTGGCTTAGGTTTCTGTGTAACTTAGCGACCTCAATACATTGCATATTGATAGAGTCTAATAAGCAGCTTTAAGGAATCTAACTTGCTGATGCTCAGACCCCTGGTTACGCTCACCAGAACCAACCAACACTTGGCTCATATCGGGAAATATAGGAGGAGCTAGCACCGCTCACTCCTGCTGCTTCGGGATCTACTTTCTGGATCCTGCCGGGGGTCGGGGTAAAGAGTCCTATAAGAGAGTGCCACAACGGGGTGACTATAAAGGAGTACTACAAGTACAACCAAGGATCAACCTCTTCTCTCTGTCCCTGGTCGTACGGCGACACCCGAATCTAGCGGTTTAGGACCTAAGCGTGTGTGGTTTAGGGTTTCGGGTTTAGGTTCGTTTTCGATGACATGTTTAGGGCATTGCGATTCAGGCTTTAGTTCTACTAAATCTGAAACTCCTACTCGTTCGAGATTCCTGCTACTGGTTTAACGTATGCAAGTCTAACCTTAACCACACAGATTGCCGCGTCTTCATGCGCGACGCATACGGCTTCTCCGTCACAGATGTGCGGTTACTCACAAGGTACAGTTTCAGCAATCGTGTTGCGACGATTGTCGACCTCAGAATTTCCATCAAGAAGTACAAGTGCCGTGGGGAATTGAAGGTGGCCTTCAGCTGCGAGGGCAAAGGATATAGTCGATGACCCCATCTCTCCCTTGCGGACTTGTCCAAGCACGGATGTGCTCCGGTACAACTCGTGGCAACCTGTAGTCTCCATTGTAGTTCCTTTCTGGGGTTACCTTTTAAGATCCTTAATATGAAATTGGTTAAACCTCAAAAAGGAACTACAATGGAGACTATAGGAAAGTTGGAGGTGAGGTCAAATTCTTCATCAAAGGAATCCAACGAAGTGGCGTTGCAGCAAGCAGGCTGGTCATCAACCGCCCCACCGAGCAGAGTCCGACGAACGGGACTGAACAGGATGTCTGTGATGAAATGCAAAGTCCCGATATAGTAGAATGTAATGTTTCTATATTATGAGTTACGATCATAATTTCGGGAAGGGTACCTTGCAGCCTTTGGGATACCCACACGCAAGGCCTTTCTAGGCACTGTGCAGAGCCGACGGACCGTGAGCTTTTGACTTGGCTCCGGCGACGGGCTCGTCTGCATCCCGAGTACCAACCAACCATCAGAGCCCAACAGGCTTCGGGAGTTTGGGGCTCAGGGTTTTTAGGGTTTAGGGTTTAGGCAACCATCAGAGTCCAAGAGTAGGGAAGGCTAGGGTTTCAGGTATGGGGACGCTGTCGAACTGGTGGTTCAGTTTGGCTTCTAAAGCTTCGCGACATAGAGTCTGGGGTTTCGGACTTGTGGCGTTTAGGGTTTGGGGTTGAGGGTTTAGCGTTTCGGGTGGCTTAGGGGTTTTCAATTTGGGAGCTGAAGCTTGGCGGGTATCGACTTTGAGGGTCTTGTGGGTTCTATAGGGTTGAGGGTTTAGGGTATAAAGCTTATCCTTACCATCAGGCTCCAAGGAGTCATGGCTCCAACACCATGTTAGTCTAGGGGCCTTAATGATTAGAATAGGGTGTTTGGTGGGTTCCTTGTTATATGTAAATATAGTATAATATACCCCAAGCGTTATTCTAATTATTAAGCCCAAAGGTTCGCGTTGCGAAGGCTCCTTCTTTCTCTGCCTCTTCAGGAGAGAACATGTGCCTCAGAAGCGAGGCACGACAGGGATTGAGGACGAGGAAAAGACACCCCACTCAGGGCCCAGGGCTCGATCCACATGGTTAGAGCAAACCCCTTGTGTCGGGCTGTGACCTATCGTTTCGGTGGGTTTCAGGCAAGTAAGCCTGGGTTTAGTTGAGGCGTTAAAGTCTCGATAATCGAATGCTCGAACTAGATTGCGGGTAACGCAGGAAATAGAGCATGATGGAATCCGGCATCTGCAGTCCATAAGCACTAGAGCGGCCATTGGCCCGAATGAAGAGGTAAACCGAGGAAATCTAAGAAACTGACATGGCGAGTAGTATGAGGGCATTAATTTTTAGAGTAGAGCTCTCGAGTACTTGTAGTATAAGTATGAAGGAACCTTCAGGAATCGTATTGGTAATGACTCAGGCTTCTGTAGATACTAGGGACTACTAGGGTGTGGGGTGTAGGCGGCTGGTCTCGGAGTCCGGGGCCGTGGGTTGAAGGCGTAACGAAACGGCCCTTAACCCTGAACCAACGGAGCCTCTAAACACTCAACTCTGAGCCCTACTTGACCGACAGATTTACAATTATGTGGGAGTGTCCGAAAATAGGGGTACCTTATTTTGGGGTCCTTATAATATAAGGATCCTACTATTTAGGGCACTATATGAGGGGACCCCGATTTTCGGAAGCTCCCACGTCTCCCTTTGAACCCCAAAATAAAACACAAACAAACTGCCCAAACCGCGAATACCCAAACCGTCAACGCAGAACACTCAAGTCCGAACTCCCGAAACCTACTGTCCATAAAGGTTCCTGTAAGGGATCTATAAAGGTTTCCTTTAAGGGATCCATGAGGGTTCGTGTATGGGTTCTTTCAAGGGATATCTGAGGGGCCCGGCTTTAGGATGACGATGCGCCGGCCGGTTCCGTCGTCCATCTCTCCGCTCCAGGACACGGCCTTCACAAAGGATCCCAAATGGCGACATGGGAGTTTCCGAAATTAGGGGTACCTTTTTTGGGGGGTCCTTATGATAAGGATCGCACTGTTTAGGGTTTTAGATTAGGGTCCCCTCTTTTCGGAAATCCCCACACGGGTGATGGTCCCGCAAACTCAAATAGCAATAAGTGATAAGACTAACAAGACGAAAAATGACATTAAGAAGACGAATAATGATGATGTAGTGCTGATCATAGTCTGTTACTCTGTTATTACTTATAGCAACCCTGCCTTCTGCAATGTATACGTACTTGACGAGATTTTGTGCTTGTGGATGTGTTTCAGAAAGTTTTGGGTCTCGAGGCTTGGGAATTTGGGAGGGTACAGGTTGGAGCTACATCTTCGAGGCTTGGCGCATGTGAATTTCAGGGTCTGGGGTTTGGGGATAAAACGTGGGATTACGGGAAATACAAGCCAAACCCCATAATCCCAACAACCTAAACCCTGAAGAGTGGTGCCTCTTTGAGCGCGTTCTTGGCTGCGATGTACTTCGCTCTGTCGGCATCCGGCTTTCGAGACGTGGCGAGCTCCTGCATGGGATTACTTAGGGCGTTATGGTTTAGGGCTTATTGCGAGGTTTAGGGCTTACTGCACCGCTTAGGCTTGCTGCAGGGTTTAAGGTTTGGCATTGGATTAAGGCGGGTTTAGGGCATGGGGTGTTGGCTCTTGTTCTTTGAAGCCTGTGCGATCGATCCCTTACACGGCACTCGTCAAGGTGCACCAACTCAACGGAAGATACGATAAATACTAAAGCCTAAACCCCAAAACCTTATACCACCGTACCGGGCCGTACCTAGAGCCTGCAACTACCCTCTACCATACTCCAAATACCCACTATTTCCGACCATCAGGGCTCTATGAAGGGGTCGTTAGGGGGTCCTGGTAAACCCTATAGAACCCTAAACCTGGACCATGCCTTCCTCACTTACAAGTGTAAGGCCCCTAAGTTTGAGGATCTCCGACAAGATGATGGCTAGCCCACGCAGTTGCAACTCAACATCTGCCACGCCGTCGCGCTGTCTGGCGGGAATGCCTTGAAGCGTGTGCTCATGAGCTTGAAAACTTTCTGGAGCTGGGCCACGTCCTCACTCCGGGGAGACGGAAACAAGAAAATCTCGTAGAAATCTGCGAAAACTGCGCTGCTCGACGTAGCTGCTCTTCTTCGTCTTCCGGTTGCCGGTCAGCATCTCCTTGCTGACCACATCAGATCCACCACATACAGTCCTGGCATGCAGGAGCCAAGTTGAGAAACTGTGGCTTTTTCAACCATACCCAAAACCCACATCAAAACAAGCGAAAGTTTGTCAGAGCTGACAGTTGACACAGGGCAGCATTTATTTAGGCGCAAACTGCCAACGTACTGTTTACTGCGGAAACCCAGTACCCGAAACTAGGCTGCCAGCCCCAGCACTGGATAATTTGAAGCTTTCGGTTTTACTATAGCCCTGAAAAATAGAGACTGGTACGCCGTGGCGGCGCGTATGTTCGAGGAATTCTGTGTTTTTCCTCGAGTTTTCTACTATAGAAATGTCTTGATCATACTCCCCAGAATACACCAGCAAACATCTGCACAACGTCTTAACGCAGTATTACTCTCAACAGCTGAACTGACGCCCGCACAAGCAGCACGCTGACGATCCGACCTTGGCAGAGATAACTACTTAGTACCTACTTTAATCCTGTTATACTCATAGCCCTTCAAGGACGCGGAGACAGCAATTCTCAGTTTGCACAGAGTTATCAGCTGCTTCGCTCACTCTTCTTCTTCTTCTTTGGTCACGCCTCGGACTTGTCGCAGCAAGAGACAGTCGACTAGAAGTCAAAATTTGTACACGTATGTCAGGCTTCTTTCTTCGATGAAGCAGACTGGCATGTTGTCGGATAGAGCTTCCTACTTCGAGGACGCTGGACGCTTCGCCATGCAGGCTGCTGGCCTCCGCAAGCATACCTTTGCAGTTGGACGACGGAAAACTTTCGAGGCGGATGATTTGCTGCAACTGTACGGCTGAGAACGACGGCGCTTACGGCTTGAACTGAATGGGCTGAGGTGACTCACACTGTTCTTGCGGATCAACTCGTTATGCTTCTGCACGTAGAAGAGAACATAGAAGAAATGCGTCTGCGGGGACATGGTATTGAATGTTCTGGCATAATTGCGAAACCAAGCGAAGGTTTGCTCAGCCACAGAGGTATTCACCTCTCTCAATCTCTTGTCCAACTTCTTGTGCACCAAGGGCGAGCACGGACAAGTTGTACCATGACCATGTGCGTGGAACTTATCGACGCAGAAATACTTAATGTCCCGGAGCATGTCCGACCTTCGCACTGCTTGCAAAGCGCAGCACATGCGGTCATAGATGATACAATCCAAGACAGGAAGAATTTCAGCCGCATCTTCAAGCATCCTAACTGCCAGGTCATTGTTCTCAGGGTGGATCATCTCCTGCACACCAACGATGAGGCCGGACTCTGGATGAATAGCCATAAACCACCCATTTGTGCGCTTTTTGACTGTGCCGTCCTTCCTTGGCCGTCCGCCATGGGCAGGAGTAATAGTAGAACACCTGGATGAAACCTTTTCATGGCCATCGATCACGAGCTCGTACATAGACTTACTCTCCTTAACAGTAATCTCATTGGATTGGAACCACTTTTGATATTCCTGCACGAAGTTGTCAGCAAGCAGCTTCTCCAAACAGATCGACAGGAGTTTCTTGTCGGTGTCCTGGTCCGACAAGTCGCACCACATGAGCTCGCCGACCTGTAGGACATTGAGATACAACTGTGCGGTAGAGTATTCCAGCCGCCATCGAGCATGCTCATTTTCGTCTTTCCACATGACTTCCTTTTGCGCAAAGTTGATAGCATGGACACTGATATGCCAACGAAACTGCAGCATGCCATGATAATCCAGGAAAGATCGAGTGAAGACCGTCTTGGGATTCACGAAAACAAAGTCCAGATCACTTGCATGAGAGCTGTTGATCTTGTTGCCGTCCACCCAACGGTAATTGTAGTGATGCAATGTTGCACAACTGCGATTGGAGCATTTCTTTGTCAAATGTTCCACAGGATGTACCCCGTCGAGTGCATATAAGCGTGCTTCGATAACACGCTCCTTCCGAATAGAGGCACCACACTCCAAGCACGTCTGCAGGGGTGAGGATAGCACCAGTCTATCTGGACAGTGTACATCCACTTTCATTGTGATTGAGGCTTGCGATGCAGGTCGTTTGCAAGGTCCTGATCCACGAAGGTCATAGGCTGCGTGAGTAAGCGTCTGAAGACGAAACCAAGACAGATTCTCCATGGAGGACACAATCTGAGACAGGATCTGGAAGGTGGTGTGCAAATGACGCCCGCTAGACTCAGAATCCACGACACATACTGTCGAGTCGCCCAGGAATCGGATGCCACTCCAATGTCCACCACCTGGAGCTGCTTGATGGACAATGAGGCTACCGTTGAGGGTATTCACCTCGCTCAGATCCACTTCCTCCATGTAGATCATGCGGTATGCGTCTTGCGGAGCGCGCTGCGAACTGTACCTCATGTGCTCGTTGAATTCCCTAGCGGAGATATCACCTTCATCTTCCGTAACCTCCAAGAGGTCAGTGTCGCAGTCAGGCCGGAGCACAGCAATCACGTAGTGCAAGCAAGACGAGGTTGGCCCTTGCAAGCTAGCCCGGCAGATACTCCAAAGTCCAAGATCTTTGCGAATCAACAGCCTTGCTATGCTTGACAGCTCCGTGCCGGAAGGCCACGACTTGATGGCCATGGGAATCACACTCTCTTCACATGCCCGACACGCTTCGACGACATCCAACTCTGCAGCAAGACTGTCGCATTCAACATAGCACCCATCGAAGAGCAGCATTTGCACAGAGTCTCCCATGTGCTCTGACATGATGTGCATGAGCTTCGCCTCCTCAAAAGACAGGGAGCTGAGAGCCGACTGAACTCTGGATTAGGACGATCTTCATAAAGATCAGCGAATACTCTGGCAGTCGGCATCTTCAGTAACAGCATAGCGGCACGCTGTACCTCGTCACAAAGCTTGAGCAAATATGGGATTTCAACGGAAGGCCGGCCACCGTAGAAAATGCGAATAAGCTCTACCTTCGCTTCCTCAACGGTACACTCCGAATACTGTGCCAGAGATTCTCTCCACTGTTTGTAGAACTGCACGACCTTATTCAGCATGGGGAAATTGTCCTCATCCCAAAGTTCAGATTCGCGCAGCTTCGAAACTAATAGACGAGGATGGCACGAAGGAGCGTCGACTTCGGCGCAGTGAGAGCCCAAGGCAATGAACCTTGCTTCACGCGCGAGCTTTTGACCAGAAGGTCCTCGCGACAACAAGCGTCCATAATGAGGTCGTCTGTAGTAGGCGATGTCAATGCTGGAGAAGTCTCCATTAACCAATCCGTCTCGACGATGCCGAGCAATGTAGGCTTCCAGGAGATCTTGACGACGATCGTTGCCAGCTTGCGCATAGGCGTTGAGCGCAGTCAAATTCACTCTCTCCTGCAAGCGGAGTTCACTATTACGCCCGAGCGCACTGAGATCTTCGACGATGGTTTTGTTTTGTCGGATAATTTGTGCGTCATGGTGGAAGGCTGCCCCTGTCCACTTCTCCTGCGTGTGCAGCAAGTCAAAGGGATCGCCCCATTCCGTCCAAGACCCGTACTTGTCGATGCCGCCGTGATTGTCCATGGCCAACTGTAGTTTCGTCCAATCCAGAAGGAGCTTGTGGAAACAACCATGATCCACTTGCTTCAAGAGGATCACGTCAGCGTTGTCCACGGCCTCGATAAGATAAGAGAGTTTAGTCCGCTTTCCTTTCGACGAGTATATGGCTCCTGGCAGAGCCTCAATCTTGTGGATGAGGTACTCCTTCAAGACTCGCTTCCAGGGCGTCTGCGAATGAGCACCAATGACTAGTCTATTGAACTCATTCACATCATCCGTCTCGTCTCCAGAAGGCGGAGCATTGCCGCCCGCAAGGCGCGAAGCTAGCCACTTGGTATCACGAACAAGATCGGCATGAACACCGGCGAGGTCGTTGATCATTCTCAAAGACTCTGCTAACGACGTTTCCTGGAAGAACGGAATGCAGTATTCCCGTAGGAACAGGGCGGCCGTTATCTCATGTGATAGGAAAGCAGATAGTTCGTCCTGTGGAATCAACAGGAAGACGCCGTTGTCTGTGTCCACCTCATTGACATCACTGACGAGTTTCCCCTTCCCCATGCGAAGACACACGATGCGTCTCTCCAGTTGCTGGCAGCATTTGCTGCGATCGCGAGCTTCCTCAGTTGTGGGTATGTTGTCATAATTTAACTCCTGCACCTTATTCAAGCTCTCACCAAATTTGCGCTTAGTGGTGAAGCCGTAGTTGACCCGACAGTCGATGTCTTCGTCAACTACGAATCGCTTCCATAGGTCGGCATGGAAGGAAGACTTATGATCCATCTCTTGGGTGCGAACATTGGCCATGTTCCATGCCAACTCCGCAGATTTGCGGAATTCCGATCGGTCCAAGAAGACCCCACAATCCAATGTGGAGGAAGCAAGGTCCCCGAACAAGGTGCGATCCAATATTGCCTCCATTCCTTTACCATCGCCACCTTTGCCGATCTGGAAGATCATTTTGGAAGTGCATACTCGCTTGAAGGCTGCGTGGAGGAAGCACAACTTGATTTGGAATCCATGTTCGTTCATGTAATACAGAGACTCGAGGAAGAGACGAAGCCTGCTACGGAAGTTGTTGACATCAATGTTGGGGTTCTGTGCGATCACATGTTCATACAGGTAACGGTAGTTCAGTTTCAAGTAGCAATTCCGATCACGTGATTTCGGAGCCACATCCCAATTCTCGTCGAGGTACACGTCCGTGAAACAGACGCCTGTCGATCTAGGCATAGGTGTATCCCACTCCAAGAGAAACAACTTTGTTAGAGGCTTTGAGGAGATTTCGCTTTCCCATGTCTCCCGATATTGAGCGAGCATATCGGCGACACGGCGAGACCATTTCGCATGCCACGCCTTGTTTCCTGTAGCTTTGCGAAGATGATCACTGTTAGCCTTGGCGACGCCACATAGCTCTTTAATCACATCCACGGACTGTTGAAGAGGATGTCGAATCACATTGATCACTTCGGCGCCGGCGGCTTCCCAACTCCATTGGGACTCTCGCTCTGCCGCCACCAAGTCCAGAGAGACTTGAACAAACAAGCCCTCCAAGGCCATCAGCAAGTCCCATGCATCGATGGACAAGTTCTCAGAGCGAACCCAAGCACCGTCCTCGTACCGAAAAGCTTGTCGACAATGAGCCCTCCAGTTATGGCCATCAATCAACATGGCCAACATAAGCTTCTGTTTGTTAGACATGCAATAGTTTGCGGCATCCATGTCACAGATGTAGTTGGCAATGGAGATGAGTTTGCAGGTCTCCGGAGCGAAGTCTGGAAAGGAGTTACGACCCCACTGCATGTAGTGCTCGTACATGGCTGGCATTGTGATCGCGTTCGGGTTGACGGGTGTCGGCGCCAAGACATGTGGGGCAGGAGGGTCGATCTCCAGATCAGAGAAGGCGCGAAACCTCATCAGGACACAAAGTAAGAATTACACACATATATGCTCGGAACTGCGTAACATTGCATGGGATATCCGCGTCTGAGACCCCAACAAATTTGCACCTCTGAGACGTTTCGCTGGACGAGGTGAAGGAGAAGACCCCGCCATGTGAGGATACTCCTCCTGCATGAGATGTTCCAACTGACTCTCCAAAGAATTGGACATGTCAGCACTGACGACAAGGGACGCGCGGATGAAGTTGTAGCTTGAAAGCTCGAGAAATGCTGAGGCATTAACAGACAGCAAGGATGGAATGTCCATGCATAGGCTACGATACTACACGGACATGCCAGGTCGTTGGTATGCGACAAGAGACTGAACTGAGTCGAAGACAAATGGAATGATGATCAGGAAGAAGATGGAGGACCTTCCAGTAGCAAGAAAAGCATGATGCAGAAGGGCATCCTTCGTGAAGAATCACCTTCCTGCGAGAAAAAGACGTGCATATATACAATGCCGTATTACAGCCTTCCTATTGCTGCTGTACATCCTCTTCCTCATCGTGAGCCCTGTACCTTGTCTCTATTGTTCCCTCAGTGCCTATTGTCTTGTTTCGTGTCTGTCCCCCTCGCCCCTTGTCCCCTTTGTCCCCCTTTGTCCCCCTCTGTCCCCCTTTGTCCCCTTTGTCCTCCTCTGTCCCCCGTCTGTCCCCCTTTGTCCCTCTTTGTCCCCTGTCCTCGTCGTCCTCCTTCATCTTACTTTGCTCACTTTGGTATCTTTGTTCCAGCCTCTTGACTGTACCCTGCTTGTTGCCTTTGTTTCTCTCTTGTTCCGTGAGTTGTCTTCTCTTATGTATCTGGGTTCTGCTTCTGTCTCTCCTCGGCTTTATAAACTAGAACATATAACAGTAATGTACACGTCGTCATACGCCTAGATTGCCTCACAGTGCATACTGACCGAAAGATTTTTCCGCCATTGTTCGCAAGCGTAACTAGTTGCATCCATCATTATATATATGCACTCAACTCGGCCTCATCCCACATGAGACCAGGAGGCGGAAAAGTAGACTCGGGAAAGGCTACTGCGCTGCAGCGGTTGCGCTTCCAGTTTGGCTCTTCTCCTTTGGAGAACCAACCGTGCTGAGACCAAAAAGTATCAGACCAGGATTCGTTGCGTCCTTTAGACGACCAACGCCCCCCGCTCCAATACTTGGTCTTTGCGACACGCGCGGCGATTTCCTCTCTCTCGGCTTTACGTGCTCTCTTTCTTGTAGCCTTCTCACTCTCCAGCCGCAACCGTTCTACACGAGTGCGCTCCAACTCGAGCTCCGTAGCTGTGGAACTCTTCCGTGGAGTCGACGGTTTAGTAGACTGACGGGATGCCTTTGATGAAGTAGGCCGCGTTCGGCTATGGAAAGATGTCGGCTGCCTATGCGGTGGCTGCGGCTTCGGAGACTCGCTGGACTTCGGCTTCGGCGGGCAGGTGCAGCGATCCCGCCCCCACTTCTGACATCCAGAGCATTTCGTACGAACCATAGCGCGCGCGTGAGATAGGAACAAGATCGATAATAGGAAAAATCTGCGGCAAATATGTGTAAGCTTATGGTAAGTGCAGTACATATACGGATAAAAAAAGCCAAGCACCGCCAACGCTGAAGTTGAGGTCGCGACCTGAAACACCATTATGTGGGGTATATGTGAGGATACAACAGCTCGGATACAAGGATTTGCAGGGCATGACAGGGGTTGCTTAGGGGGGGGGGGGGGGGGGGGGCTGGGCGCAAAAAAAAAGTAGATAAATATTATTATTGTTTTCTATTTTTATTTTTTTTTGCGACCCCCCCGCCCCCCGGGGACCCTTCTAGCTCGGCCTGAACATCCGTACGTGGAGTATTATATTATAACGTCGTACAGCAGCAAACACGTAGCTTTCAAGATACAAACGCTCATACGAAAGACATACCTACAGGCATGCAGTAGAGAATAACATTGCCCGCACTACGAAAGGCGTACCTATAAGCATGCAATAGAGAAGAACAAAGTCAACATCCCGAAAACGACTGAAACCTGCAACCTCGAAAACACGCGCCGCCAGGGCGTACCATACTGGAAAAATAAGGGGACAGAAACCCCTAAACATCGAAAAGGGCAGAAGGGTAATAGTCATACTAGCGGGGAGATGTAGGAAACCACCCTAACGCCCCCTCCCAAGCTTGGCTCTAAAAAACTGGCCTTGAGAGCCAAGTTGCCTTGCTGTTCCTGAAACCCAAGATCGGCCCGGTGGCACGAGTAACCCGTTGCACATCCCAATTATGGAGAATACAGATAAATGCTACCCCACCGAAACCTACCTTCAAACCCCCTCTTCTACTTTCTAGACTACGCTGCGACTCCGCTCCCAACACAAGTCTTGTGTTCCGCGTGTTCAAACCTACATAAACATGCTAAGTGTTGCCTAGTATTCCCTGTTTACGACTGCACAACCGTTTGAATCAGTATAAAGATGCTAGGCTAGGTACTGTCTAGTCTTCCCTGCTTACGACACCACACGGTTCAGGCCAAGATAAAACTGCTAAGTACTGACTAGTGTTGCTTGTTTACGACGACGCAAGCCCACTCAAACAAAGATAAGCATGCTAAGTATGGCAGCTTAGTGCCCACTGTTCACGACGACACAAGCCCACTCAACCCGAGATAATCATGCAAAGTATTGCGTGGCATTGCCTAGTATTCCCTTTCAACGGCGATACAACGCCGTTCGAACCAAGATAATACCACTAAGTATTGGCTAATGTCCTCTGCACACGCTATTAAACGGCAAAGCCGACAAACCGTATGAAATATTTCTGTGATGCCGAGGGCCAAGTCACCTTTTGGATGCTGGTGTAGGCTTAGGGATATAGGGTGTGCAAACAAAATGTTCATGATGCAGCACTAGGGACTGATGCTTCCAGCACGGTGCTCTTCCTTCTCTGATACACACAGCCTGCTCCGTTCTACTTCCGCAGGAGTGAAACTTGTGGCACTTCCTCCGTGTGCGGCAATGTATTCTGAATCATACGCCACGCGATATTAACATAGGCCTGCAAATCAGCACAACACTCTCTGCACAAGCCTGTGCAGGTGCTTTGCTTCCAGCCCTTATGCGCAAGGTGCTTTTCGCACACATTATCATGTCACAACATGTTCTTGAGTATGATGCCACAACACCTTGCAACACAAGCGCTCCTATGCTTACTAGTTACTAGCATGGCACCTGAACACGACATCACAATGGTGCTAACGCAAGCCTAACGTGAGTGCTCTGCCGATTAAATTTCTGAACGACTCATTCATCACCAGCTGCACCATCATTGCTGGATTCAATCATTCCACCCGGCGGATCATCGACTCGCCTCAGGTCCACCGTTACACATGCTCCGACATCTCCTATGTCGGTCTTCTGTCCGCACGTGTAGATGGTAGTCTGCCGAAGAGGAACAACGACAGCAGCAGCTCGTTTCGGGAGAGGAACAACGACAGCCGCAGGCATGCTCCGGGAGCGATCTTCAATTTCTCCTTAAATTTGTTCCAACTGCTAGCGGCTGCCTTCGTGCGGACTTGCTTGCGGTTCCAAGCACTCGCTCAGCTTGCAGTGGCTGCCTCTGTCCCAACATGAAACAGACTCTCATACCTGTTCTTGGCCTTCTGAATCGTGCAAAGCACTTGTACTCATCACGCGCTTCTTCTTGGGATTGTCCTGAAGTTGATTCGGGCTAGTTATATCCAGCGCGCAAACACAGGTGTCATGCCAATCGCTGGTCCAAGTCGTAAAGTCAACCGAGGATAGTGTTGAGGCGGTGTATGAGCTGGACTCAATGTCTGGTTTCACCCGAGCTGCTGTCACTGTCATCCTCGGAGTTCCTTTCGATTGGGAAGGCACGGAAAACGAAGATTACGTGTTGTGCCCTTCAGGAGAGCATATCGCAGCAACGATGAAATGTGCAGTAGTATAAAAACACATAGAAGAAACACTGCGTGCATTAAGAGCACCTCCCGCAAAAAAATACCCTTAGAACCGTTCAGACTACGTATTCCAGAGTGCAAACCTGTTAATAACACTTCACAGGGCTCATGAAACGTAAAGCCGTTCAGAAGATTCTGCATGCTACGCTGAGTCGCGAACCGGGCGGCTCCTGTACCTTGGTTGGTTTCATCTGTCACGATTCGATCGGGTGTGCGAATGCAAAGAGGATCTCAGAGTCGTGCACGGCTTCGCAGCATAAGTGTGAAGACCTTGTTGATGCTCTCTCATTAGTCTCCTTGGTGTCTTTTCTTCGTGTCTGCCTTCCACTCTCTCCGTCTCCGTCTTTCTCACGGTTTGTCGGGCGCGGCACTCGTGGCTCGTGAAGCCTCGGCGGAACCTGTAAAGAAGAGGTGCTTGACAGCGCCTTGATTATGCTCTTCCGGGGTTAGGGAAATCAGCCGGCAACCCGGCGCTGAAAGGCCGGCGCATTTGCGGCTGGAGATATTTGTTGGAACGGCAGTATCCGGTCACTCTGCGAGCCCGGGTCCGTCCAACCACTTCGACCTCAGGTCCACCTGAGCGCAATGTTTGTTTCCAGGTCTGCGTTTTATTTGCGAACACAAACCAAGGCTACGGCCGGCAGCATGGTTGCGCTTCAGCGGCCCGATGTATGCGAATTCGAGCCGATGCATCCGTCATCGCCGTTTATACAAAATACAGGAGGCCAGGTCAAGCTTCCGTTTATCTCAAAGGTACACACACTCTCACACACACACACACACACACTGAAACGCTATTTTAGCAACCGCGCACTTGAGCCAAAAGGTAACGTCAGTGTGAAACAACTGTACATGAGACCCATACCCAAACTATACCCCAAATCCAGTCACGCCTCCCGAGTAGGGATCACGCTTTGCTTTCCCTGCGAGTTCTTTGGGGTATTCCTTCACGCCTTTCCTAAGGCCAGCTCATGCTTTCCAGACCTGACGGTGTAGCCCATTCGACTCAATAGCTTCGTAGCAGTTTGGCCGTCCAAAGGCTTCGTCATGAGGTCCGCCAGCATGTCTTGCGTGTTGACCTTCTTCAGGCGTATTCTTCCTTGATCCACTATTTCTTGCACCCACAGATAGCAGGTGTCAATGTGCTTGACCTTACCCAGCCCTCGTCGCGAGCCGATGGATATGCCCGCGCTGGCGTCCATAGCTATGTTGACAGACAGCTTTACACCCCAGTCCGCCATCATCGCTTGCTCGCCCAAAGCGGTTGAGGCTGTTGATATCAAGCCATAGTATTCTGCTTCTCCAGTGGACAGGGCAATCACAGCTTGCCCCTTGGCTGCTGTCTTCACCGTTGCTTCTCCGAGCTGGATCACGGTTCCAGTCGTGCTTTTCCTAGTCTTGATACACCCAGCATGGTCACTGTCGGACCAAGCATTGATGCTTGTGAAATGCTCTTGATACGGAATCAATTGCACCAGCCTAGGAGATCCTCGGAGATATCTTGCAGCTCTCTTCAAGAGACCCCAATGGTGTTGTTGAGGTTCTTTCAGCCCTTTCGCCAACTCGCGGACGGTCCTAAGCAAGTCCGGCCTATCCATAGACAGATAACCTATCCGCATAGCGATAGAACGGTACAGAGCTGCTTCAGCAGTACCAAGTGGAGTCTTGTCCATGTCCTCTTCTTTCACCTTGACCAGTGGAGTGGTCACAGAAACTCCTTTCTCCAGACCCAGCTGTTCCAGAACTAAGTCCACATGTCTTGGGTCGGCTTCCATCTCGATGCCTTCTTGGGTCCACGTCACTAGGCGATTCAAGACAGAGATCTGATGAATCACGCCTGGCAGCTCCGAACCGGGTCTAGCCAGGATGCCCCTTGTCTCAACTGTCCAAACCTTGCCCAGTTCAGCTTCTAGCCACTTGAGCTCTTTGTAGCTTCCAACCACTGTAAAATCATCTCCATGGACGTTGAGTCGCAAAGATTTTTCCTCGTGGAAGTACAGGCATGGGTTGCTTCGTCCTTGCTTGAAGCCCAAGCCCTCCAGAGCATCCTTGATGGCTTTCTCCCAATTGGAAGGTGCATCCCTGGTCCCATACAAGGAACGCTTCAGAAGTCCAACCTTGTCTCGTCCCTCTCCAGCTTCTGGTGGAAGCTCCACAAGGAGTCTCCGGCGTACAGGGCTCCAAAAGTGAGCTTTCTTCACATCCAGAAACATAAGACAGACTTCGCCTCCAGACCCAACGGGTAACAGCTTTCCCCGAGTGTTGGGTACACGCTGTGTAGTCGCTAAGGAAAATAGCGCCCGAAGAGAACTGAGTGGCGGCATTGCAGCGAAAAAGTCGCTCCAAGTGGACTGGTCCTCTGGTTGTTGCGGTCCGCGGGCTCTTTTGAGTTCCTGAGCGACAAGCCTGGATCTCAGTTTGTGACGGGCACCATCCCCCTTGTTGATGTCCACCCATCGCGTACCGATCACCTTCTCGTTTGCAGGGCGTGGTATGACTTCCCACACTCCCATCTGCCTGATGACGCTCACTTCCTCTGCCCGGGCTGCTTTAACACCTTCAGCTGGAAGCTCTTTCCCGGTGAGGTCGTCGTAGAAGGTCTCCGCAAGAACCTCTTCCACTAAACCATCAACCAGGTCGCAAGTAGGCTGTTCGACTCCTTCCAGGGATTCAATCCACGCCTTTCGCTCTCCAGCAATAAGCGTCTCAATCATTCCCTCGATGTTTTCAGCCTTGCGCTTAGAGCCTTCTGCTCGGTCCTCTGCAGGCCTCAGCTCGGACCTCTCTTGGTCTCCAGGGTCCTCGCTCTTCCGTTTGCTCGCCGAAGCAGCTTCCGAAGCGGTAACTGCTGGCTTCTTACTCTCTCGCGAAACGGAGACAGGCTCTGCTTTAGAGGGTTTCCTTTTCTCCACTTTCTTTGCTGCTTGCTCTGGTGGCCTGCTAGGTTGGCTGGGCTCGCTCGCCTCTGCACTTCCTGCCTCAGGCCTTTTCTCCTTCTCTGTTGCAGCCTTTCTCTTCTTTTCTTCTGCCTCGTGGACTTTCGTGAAGTACTCGGTCTCGCGCTGAGTCTCTCGCTCTAGGCGGGCTTGGCCTCGAGAGGTGTCCTTCAGCGCCTCTTGGATCCGCTTCCTACACGTCTCGTTGTGGTTGATACCTTGGCGTTCTCTGCCTTCGCGAATAGCGGCACAGGCCTCACAACCCCCAGTATAGCCAAACTGCTCCAGGTCGCTTTGTCGGATATACATTCTCCGATACGTAGGCAACCGTTCGGCGTCTCCAGGTTTCGGTGGAAGCTCTGCTTGCTCGACCACGGGTTCTATCACGATAGGCTCCGGGAGTCTGTCTGCATCGGCGTTCGTGCTCTTCTCGGGATTAGGCTGCCAGGGAGTTCCTTTCACAGCCTTCAGCATCTCGAGATTGAACTGCTTGTCTGCAGGCTTCCTTCGGATAGACTGCACCACCAGGATACCCGAGGGCGTCCCGATAAGCTTCTCCGAACTCGTAAGCCGCAGTCCTAGGTAGACTCCTTCTTGCCATCTGGCATCAAGCTTGCTTTTCGCCCTTCGGCGATAGTCCACGATTTCTCCAAAGCTTGGAAGAGCTACTTGCCAGGTTCGGCCCTTCAGCTTCTGAAACGGAGTCATGCCCTCGCTGTCCTCTTGAGAGAACAAGGTGTGGAGCACCCCTGCGTACTCGATCATCCAAGGGAAGATAACCGAGTCCTTGGGTAGTTCTCCTCCAGCATTTTGCTCCAGGGCATACTTCATCGTGCGCACTTGTCCCTGCACACGTTGCACTGCATTCTCAGCTGTGCCGTTGCTTTGCCCGTGAGAGTCTCCCTTGGGCGACTCTTCCAGAGTCAGTCCTCTGGAAAACCAGCCTTCACAGCTGCCCCCAATGCCTTGATCGCGTTCTCTTGGTCCGTCTTCAGAACCAAGCGCTTGTACCCCAGCCAGTTCAAATCTCGAAGCACCGCCTTTTCAGGATAGGTCGAACCAACCGTCCCTTTAGTTGGCAGCAGATGCGAGAAGATGGCCTTTGAGGCACGGTCCCTCAAGACAACTGTTGGCAGGCTCTTTCCCGGTACTCCCTTCTCGGAGAAGTACAGGTAGTCAGCTGATACCACAGGCACTGTGGAGTCTCGGCCCTCGTGGTGGTGCGAGTAGGCTCGCCCCCGTCCAGCTACACATGCTGGGCACCACGATCGGTAAGGGATATGTGTCACCTCGTGCTCAGCAACCATTTGAGGCGTGGGCACAGGCGGTGCTCGAAGTGGCTTCGCACGCTGTGCTTCGTCGCCTCCTGGCTGGGCGGATCCCGAAGCGGGCTCCGCCTGGCGTGGCTCACCATCCCCAAACGGTCGGGCCTCGTCTTCTTCACCGTCAGAGTGGATCGGGAACACCTCCGGCTCCGGAAAGAGGTTGTAGTACTCAGCTGCGGCGCCTGCCGCCCTTCTTTCTTCTCCTCCTTCCTTCTTTTCCTTCCTCTCCTTTCCTTTAACCAAACCACCTAAACCAACCGGGGTTAGGGTCTCAGACACTCCTACCCTACAGGCACTTTCGGCCCTTTTCCTTCCTACCGCGCCAAAATGGCTCTGTTCTGGGTGAAACGAAACGGCTCTACAGCTACGGCTCCTACCTTCAAGGTCCTTTCCCAACAAGTTTTGCAGCGAAGCGCATCCCTCAGGGATGCTTAGCCCTTCCAGGGCCCTTAAAAAGCTCTTTGTTGGCTTGAAGCCTTTGGTAGCCGGGCTTACGCTGTACGTAGGCAGCAGCCGTGGAGGGTGCGAGTGCACCGGAAGCACACGGAACGACGCGCGAGGGCTCCCGCGCACCGGGAAGACCAAAGAACTCCCATTCGGGAGGTACAGCGTGGCCTCCTTACCTGCAAAGACCAAGGCGTTGCCACGGTCCATCGCACGACCAGTGGAGAGGAGGCAGCGCTGCACAGCTGCCACGTTGAAGATGCATCTGCACCTGGTGGCCCTCCCATCCGAAGACGGGCCACTCAGAAGCAACTCCGTTGTGCCCAGGTTGGGCAGACTCTCCCCGCTTGCCGTGGAAAACTTAAGTGGCGAACTCACCTCCTTCAAGGCTGTGGCCCTCCCTTCCTCGAAGAGCTTCTGGTACACTTTGTCTGGCAGCACGTTGTGGCTTGCACCGCTGTCCAGGATCACCTCCATTGAGGGATGCTTCTGGTTCCGGGAAGGTGCCGAAGCGGCCCCATTCCCAGATAAGGAAAACACGTTCCAACCCGGCCCTCCAGGCCGCCTTCTCCGTCGGGTGGGTCCTCTGGACCTCTTCCCCCCAGTGGCACGTGGTCTGCGTCGGGGTCTTCCTCTTCCACCTCGACCTCCACTTCTTCATCTTCGCCTTCGTCCTCCGAAAGGAGGGGCAGATGCTTCATCCTCTCCCTCTTCTGGAGAAGACTCTTGGCGTAGGCAGCTGCTGCGGCCTTCGTGGCCTTTCCTCGTCGAGAGGTGCAACTCTCGCAGTCGCTGTCCAGCAGCCTGCGCTCGGCAACGACGCCGACCGTCCCTTTCGGGAGCTTCTTCACCAGGGCTCTCCTCAGCCCCTGCCGCTTCGCAAAGCGGTCTGTGCCCTTGTGGGCTTCCACCAGGCGATTCACCTGGCTCCTCCGGATGATCTTCTCCTTGGGCATTCTCTTGGCTTGCAGCGCCCCAGCCAACGCCGCCCCAAGAAGCTTGCTTCGGCCCATCGGGCCTCCGCCCCGGGCTGTCTTCCGAACCCTGGGCCCCAGATCCTCCTTCTGGGCTCCTTGGTGGGTCCCGAGACGGTGTCCCACCACTGCCCTTCTTGCCGCTCTCTTTTCCACCCTTTCTTCCCCTGCTCCCCGGGCAACTTGCCGTCGTTACGCCACGGCGCCGTCCGGATAGCCTCGGCTACCCTTGCAGAGTGCTTGGGCCTGGCTCGCCTCCGCGGAGGCTCCCCCGCCGGCTCAGCAGGCCGGTCGGTGCCCTTCACTTCCTTCTTGCCCTTTGCAGGTGGTGGCCCAAGCGGCTCCTTGGGCACAGGCTTTGCCTTGGGCTTAGCCTCTGGCTTGGCTGCGGCCTTGGCCCTTGCGGTTCCCGAAACGGGTCCCGCACTGCCGCTCGCAGCTTCCTCCTTTCTTTTCTTCCTGGCCGCTTCCCTGCGGCGCTTGCCCGCACGTTCCCCAGGAGTCTTGGGCTTTTCTCGCCAACTCCTAACGTGCTCCTCCGGGGCGCCGTCCCCAGCACCTTCTTGGCGAAGGTTTTCCCTAGCTCGCTTGCTCAAGGGTCTTGCCTCTCGATCGGTGTTCTCCGGCATCAGCGGGTAGGATGCCTTCTTGCCGTCGTCTTTCTTAAGCGGCTTGTTGTACCTCTTCTGCCACTCTTCGTCCAGCGCAACCCTTTCGCGAGCCCTCCCTTCGCGGGAGGCTTGCCTGTGCTTCGCCGCTCGCTGGCGGCTAAGCTCCTTCCTCCGACCGGACGTCAGCCAAGAAGCGTGCCGACGACTTCCAACTCCCAGCGGTAGCCGTCCTGGCAGCCCTCCTCTTAGCCACAAGCTCCTTCAGCTGCCGGGTGACTTCCTCGAGCTGGGCTTCTAGGTTGGCCCTTTCCTCGTCACCTTCGGCACTAGCCAGGGCCCTGTTGAGCTCGGCCTGGCGAGCCTGCAGCTCGGACACCAGGTTGCCCTCGAGGAGCCGCAGCCCAACCCCCGTCATGGAGGAAGTGCCGCCAGCTGCCTTGGCTTTGGCACTTGCTCGTGCCTTGCCCCCTTCTGGCGGGTCTCGAGACGATCCCGCGCCAGAAGCACTGGGGTCGGAACGCCAGGTTCCCCAGTCTTCGTCGTCGCCCTCTGGGCTCTTCCTTTTCTTTTCCTCTTTTTCCTTCTTCTTTTCTTTCTTTTCCTTTCTTTCCGGCTTCTTTGGCGTCTCGTCTCCCCTTCCCGGGTCCTCTCCTTCGCCTTCGAGCATTCCTATGAAGCCCACCTCGGCTTCGTAGTCCTCCTCCTGCTCGGGTTCCTCGCCGTCTGGCTCCTCCTCTTCGCCGTCTAGCTCGCGGGCGTGTCCGCCCTTGCCTTTCCCCGCCGCGGCCCCTACCTTGAGCCTTACCCTTCGGCGGTTTCCCTGCACTACCTCTGCCTCCTGGGGTGGGGTCTTTGGGGTAACCACTAGAACCACCTCCTGCATCCTTGTTCTTCCTTATGTCGATCGGGCTCCTGCAGTCCTTTACGAGATGGCCCACTTTGCCACACTTGTGGCACTTACGGGTCTCCTTGTCCTTTCCTTTTCCCTTCCCCTTGGCGTAGTCGATATCCATAGGCATTGCGCCGGAGTCATCCACAGTGAATGCCCGGCGGTTCTCGGCGAAAGTCACGATTTCCCTCCGTAGAAGGTCGTACGAGTTGAGCCGTGGAAGGTTGAGCTCCAGGTGTGACTGCAACTCCGCGGGAACCATTCCCAACAACGAAACCATCTTCTGGCGCTCGGTCAGCGCCGTGCAGTCCCGACGGGCAGCATACCTCCGATGCTGGTCCTCCCATCTCTCCACTGCAGCGATCAAGTCGCTCACTTCTGCAACTGGCTTCGTCGACATGAGCTGCCGCAACCACCTAAAGCTCGTGACCATGTCAGTCGGATCCAATCTCCCATGGAGCCGCCGGTACATGTCCAGTCCGGATCCTGCGCTCGAGTTCATCGTGATATCCCCTGGGGTGTCCATAGTCAAAGTACCCAGGACTACCTCCAGTTGTCTATTGAACTCCTGAACCTTTTCCGTAGTCACTCCATCCACCAGCTGTTCCCTCAGCCTGGCAACGGCGATTTCCTCATCTTGGGTCCGAGCCCAAGTCAGGATTGCCCGGGTTTCCGGAAACTGGCTCGTGAGCCAAAGCTCCAGCCGGTAGTTCCACTGGCGCCATGCACGCGAGGCTTCCTCCAGTGTTCCTCCCAATTTCTCAGGTCGGCCAATAGCCTTTGTATCCACCACGGTTCCGCGTGGCCTCTGGTTCTGCTCTAGCAGTCTCTGGAGTTGTCCCATCTGCTCCTGCTGCGTCTGCAGCAGCCTCATCAGGAGCTGCTCTCCTGTTTGCCCTTCTCCCGCCATTGCCTCTCTTTCCTAGGCAAGTCCCGAACCGGGCCTTACCTTCCAAAGAGCCGCGTGCGTCGCCGTACGACGCCGCCCAGGATTCTCGAAATCCTATCCAGCAATCCCCGCGGGAAGTCCTGAAGCCTAAGCCCCAGATTGTGGAACAACCTCTGGTACTTTCGTACCTTCCGAAACTTGGCTAGCAGCCGAACCCAATTCCTCTGTGCGCGCTCTGGATCGTGTATCCACCTTCTCCCCTCACGAGGTCGTGCCCTTCTACCACAAGCGGCACGCAAGAGAAGTGTAAGCACCATCAACCAGGTGCTCCGCTACCATGAAACGCTATTTTAGCAACCGCGCACTTGAGCCAAAAGGTAACGTCAGTGTGAAACAACTGTACATGAGACCCATACCCAAACTATACCCCAAATCCAGTCACACACACACACACACATATATATATATATATATACATATATATATATATATATATATATATTTGCACAGGTTGAAGACAACTAGTCCCAGATTGTCTGGTAAAAGTCATCATACCCATGAACGCTTTCACCACCATCCTCGTCATAGCCGTAATCACAGTCTACCTACCTACCTACCTACCTACCTACCTACCTGACTACATACCTACCTACCTATCTTTATCTATCTCTATCTATCTATATCTATCTAACTCTATATCTATCTATATTTATCTTTCCATTCATCCGTGAAGCCCTGTGATTCGGGCTGCTCGTTTTGTATGGTTTCTCTAGCCCCCGAAGCACAGAGGGTCCGCAAAGAGCTTGGCATTCCGAGGGTGTTTGGTTCTCAACCAGCTACCACCTAAACCGGAGAAGTCCTTCAGGCATTCCACGCTTCTTCCTTGCATTCATGTTAAGGCACAGGGTTAAGATCTGATAATCTGAAGGCCGTCTACCCAAGCCCCACCAAACCCTAAACCACATGAACCCCGGCCCCCTTTCAGCAGCCCGTCTCCTTTAGCTCTTCTTTTGACAGCTTCGCGTTCTTCTTCTCAACCTCCTCGAAATCTGCCTCCCAACACTCCCGACAAGCCCTGAAACCCCAGAGCCACAAAGCAGTACTAAACCTTCCGCTACCTCCCTGGAACCGACACTCAAGGCTTGGTTCTACCTAGCCAAGAACCACACGACAAATGCAAGGCACAACACTTGCAAGGAAGTGCGTCAACTGAACCATCCAGCTACCAAGAAATCAACCTGGGACCGAGGAAATCTGGAGATCAGTGGAGTAAAGTAGGGTATGGTTTAGAACTTATAGATCTTGGTTTGCTGGGTTTAGGGCTTGGGTTTCGGTAGCCCGGAACCTAGGCCGGGTAAAACTTTCCCTTTAATTAAGGGAACTCTAAGGGTTCCACTTTGAGGGTGCTCTAAGACACCCCCGAACTTCCCGCTTTTCCAGGCTGACATACCCCGTACGAAGCTTCAGTTCTGGCGCCCTTGGAGTGAGCATCTGCTACGAGGTTCGCCAGTATGGACCCACCAAGAAGGGGTTCCCTTCCTCCCGTTGTTGAGTTGTGAAAACGAAACCCCCAACAACAAAAGACAACAAAGTAGACACTATTGCAGATCGTAGGAGAGCCACACCTTCTTTTGTTTGTGTCTGTGCTAAACCCTAAACCCTAAACCCTGGTGTGGGGTCCTTGCACCTCCGGCTTCGATATGACCTAGCTTGAGGCACGAAGCCTCCTGAGCCGACCATGTACTGTAGGTGCCTTAACACTTGGGGTTTTGGGGCCCACTATACTATAAGGCTATAAGGAGAATAAGGAACCACCCAACATTTTATACATGGTAATTACTAAGGCCCCTTTCCTGCCGTAGCTGCAGCACGCTCTAGCAAACAAGCTCAAGTCGGTCACTGGACCGCCTCCGATCTTCAACACACAACCTGGACCCCAAAAGTATGTAGAATAATAGCCCTTTAGAGACTTTGGGCCATTATGTTACCTACTTTTGGGGGGTCTAGGAAGTTATTATAAACAGTAAACCTAACTGGGTCCCACGACTCCTACCCTTTCGGGTTCTGTAATATGATTGAGGTCCTGAAGGACGAGACTCAAGAGTAACCTAGGAAGAAAAAGGGGGCCCTTTTTGGTTTAAACGGGCTTTTAAGGGAACCTGAGCCCTAGAAAAAGGGAATAAGGGCCTAGTCTAGGTCCTAGAGGATAGGTATCTGGGGTTGAGGTAAACATCACTGGACCCTCATGTCTCACATAAGTTACCCCTTTATTTATGGCTGAAGCCTCTGCTTTTACCTCTGCCTATGTTTGTCGGTCCTGAAGTACCTCGAATTTCCCCAAGCCTAAATAAAGCCTGCTGCCTACGCCCTAGTCTGATCCCTAAACCCTACAGCCGAAAGCTTGATCCCTAACCCCTACAATTCCCTAAACTCTACCTGAAAGAACCTACCGTTTTAAGGACTCATATCAGGAAATCATAATCAGGAGCCCTAAAAGGTATTTAGGGGGTCCAGCTACTCCCTAAACCCTATAAGCCAGGATTCCGGGAGCGTGGTAGCCTGCTGCACACAGATCCGACAACCGGGTTGAATCTCGTACTCGTGTAAGAACTTGACCTGCAAAATCACGGCGGGTAGTTCTCTAAGTTGAAGTCCCTGTTACTAGGATGCCCAGTAACCTAGGAAGAAGAAGGGCTCTTTTTTTTGTGGTCTTGGGTCACTTTATCAGGAACCTAGGACTACAAAAAGGGAATAAGGGTACTGCTGGGCATCCTAGGTTAGCGTCCATTTCGAAAGGGTGCCTCCTTCGTTTGGGCTGTGAAAACGGGATCAAATCTAGAGAGTCCTGGGGCACCTAAAAGTTAACCTTCGGAACTAAAAAGGGACTACAATACCAAGGTTACGTACCCGACTGCTGGGTGATAGGGATCATGTTTGAAGGCTTTGGGTTTGAAGCTTTTGGGTGAGGCTTAGGGACATCAATCAATCAATCAACCAATCAATCGATCAATCAATCAATCAATCCGTACATACATATATATATATATATATACATAGAGAGAGAGACAGAGAGAGAGAGAGAGAGAGAGAGAGTGAGTGAGTGTGTGTGCGTGTGTAACACATTACGGGGTCCGTAATGCGTTATCTCTGTGTGTGTATATAATATATACATATATATATATATGTATATACATACAAACATACATACATACATACCCTACCTCACATACTCCAAGCAGAGGCTCTGACCGCTAGTTGCACGGACGCGGCATTGGCAAAGGTCACGAGGGCGTCGCCTTTGCACCTGCTCGGACGTTTTGGAGTTTTAGGGTGCTTTAAGGGGGTTTAAGGGGCTCCTTTGAAGGGATCCCTACAGGTTTAGGGCTCTTTAAGAGGGGTTTAAGGGGTTCCTTTAAAGGGATCTCTGCAGGTTTACTGTTTTAGGTTTCAGGGCTTCGGGTTTAGGAGTTTAGCTTGTAGGGTACTTGCAAGCCCCCATTAACTCGAAACCAGAGAGCACCCTAAACCCTAATTAGGTCCTTCAACATCCCTGAGCCCTCATCCCCCGGGTTCAGGGGCTAAACGGTTTAGGGTATGTGGTTAAAGTAAAAGCCAGAAAGTTGGAATATGATTAAATTATCCGAAGCCCTTCTATGGTAAATTTTAGGGTATCCTACCCTGAAACCATATTCCAACTTTCTGGAGTTCCCTTTAAGGGCTTAGGGTTCAGACTTTGGGTCTTAGGGCTTGGGGTCTGGGGTTTCGATTGTAAGGCCCGGGATTCTTCCGTCCCCATGAAAAGACTGCAGAAGCAAGCCTGACCTAAAGTCTCAGATCAGACTAAGACTTTTCTGGGAGAGGGATGGATGGGGGGGAGTGTAGGGGTTGGAGGGTCCAATGTTGATTAAGAAGAGGATCGGGGACTTAGAATCAGACGCCGCAGTTCCATTCACACTTATAAGTTGAGGCATGTACCCTGAATACTATAGGTCCCCCTGATCCTTGTAAACAGGGGTCAAGGGCTTTGGGTTCTGGACTTGTGGATTCTTGGGCGCAAGAGGCTTCAGGAGTTGCAAGGTACGGGCCTCACTGGAGCGTGATATGATTCCAAGCATGTGTTAACGCTTGTAACGCATAAGTCACATTGCTTGCCAAGTTTTCTGACAGTCAAAGGTCCATATCTTTCGCTCTAGCCTGAAACCCTAGGCCCTACATACAGGGGAGATGAAGCACAGGCTCGACTAGCTTTCGCTTGCTTCCTCGGGGTTTGGGGTTACCCTGACAATGTCGAATAAGCTGACCAGAATATAGACATCCGAAACCGAAGTGTTTAGTTATCGATTACTTCGGACGCTAAGGGTGGCGCAGGTAGTGATTCAGTCTAAACCCTGAACCCCAAACCCTGAGCCCGAACCTCTAAGCCTTAAGCTCCTTGGGTTCCTGCCCTGCCAGGCTCAAATCACCCAGACCTTCCAAAATCCCTTAATTAAGGAATATACCTTAAACTATAATAGGATCCCAAATATGATTTAAGGTATATTCCTTAATTAAGGGATTTTGGAAGGTCTGGGCACCTTCGACTCGGACACAGGCATTCCCACAGACTCCATAAGCCCCAAGGTCATAAAAGCTTTATACAGTTGTATAATACAGTTGCTCAGGGGTCTATAGAATGTTCTCGGTTTTTCTTGGATATCGATCTTCGAACACAAAGCATGTCTTGCGATTTTGAACCGCCGGTGGACCAACAAAAAGAGTTTGGAGTGATCCGTGACACTAAATAAAGATTTGGTACCGATCGGTGGCTGAATTTGGAGTGACTCGTGGCCGAAAATGGTAATAATATTGGTGCCTGAAACCCTGGGCCTTAGGCGCCCACCATGTGCCTTACCCACCACTCAACTGTTGAGGACAGGTATAAGCAAGCCATAATAAGCAACCCAAGCATCTAGGTGCATTTGGGTCCAGCTAACTTAATTTGCATACTCTCTAATTCTAAATCCCCTAAACTTGAGGCCACCAAGGCCGGAAGCGAAAACCACGAAATCCTAATATAAACCTAACAGTTAGAAGCTGCCCCCACCCTGTAATAGTGACTACAAGGATTATATAGGATTATATTAGGGCCCTACTATATTCCTACTATACCACTATTACAGGGTGGGGGCAGCTTCTAACCTAACAGTTCGAAGCCCTAAAGGCTTGATCCAAAACAACTTTAAATTCTCTTCATCGCCTGGCGAAGAACGGGGTCGCTGCACTTAAATCCGAAACACAACGACATACCAGCAACCCCCCCCCCCCAACTACCCTCTATGACCCCAGACCTTCCAAAATCCTTTAGTTAAGGAATATACCTTAAACTATAATAGGATCCCTACTATGATTTAAGGTATATTCCTTAATTAAGGGATTTTGGAAGGTCTGGGACTCTATGACGCATACCTAAACACCCAGTATGAAGGACCACAAGGGCAGCATGAAAGGAGTTGGGAGGTGCTGGTAGGGAGGGGCCCTTTTACCTTAAATTGCCTGGGTGGATTAGGGTCAGTAATGGATTGAAATTTCTGGGGTTCACACAGGCTTTTAAAGGCGTTCAAAGGGTTTAAACCTAGGACCTTCGCGGAATAGGAATAGGGTGCTGGGGTATGCTTTGGCACAGTGCTCAGGGACCCATATAACCCTTAAAGGGGGGTAGGGGGGAAGGCCTCAAGACCTATCATAAGGACTTTATCGGGCCGACATGTACGGAAGTATATTATTCTCCTACCTCCTAAGGGTCCCTATGACATGGCAGAGGCTGCCCCTAAACCCTAAAAGTAGGGATCTGGGCTCCTCGATGCACCGAGCGCCCTGAACGTAAAACTTGGACCGAGCACCTGGATCCCCAACTCAAGGGATTGAATAATTCGACGAGCCTAGACCCTCCATCTACCCTCTACTAGACCCTAAATGCCCCTTATTTGGGACCATATACCCCTGTTTGAGGGTACAAGGAGGGTCCTGGAGGGTTCCACGCGGGTCTTGAATTACAGTTTTTTGCGGCTTGAGAACCATAAGGAATACTAGTGCTTCCTGTAATAAGCCCCATCCATCTCCGCCGAATTCTGTAGGCCTGCCATCTTGGCCCGTGTAGATGCGAATCTTGCTCGCGCAGGTCTCCACGTCGAGCTGCGGAGGCGGAGGGTAGAGTATAAGATTTAGGGTTTTGGGCTTCTGGTTTGGGGTTTAGGGTTTAGTTTAGGATTTGGGGTTTATTGCTTAGAGTTTGAGTTTGAGGTTCTGGGTTTGTCTTTGTCTTCCGGGTTCCCATGACGATCCTCAGCAGCTACATGGGGAATGCTCACGCAAACCAGACGATAAAGTCGAAGCATAGAAACCCGACTACCTATCATGTAGGAATGTAGGAGACTCTGGATTCTTGTTTAGGGACTTCATGTAGCCCTCAAGCCCTAGCCGTACGTGTTAGTTGTCATAGTAACCCGCCGATACCAACTGAACTTCGAGGGTAGTTTAATGCTGGTACGGTGACTTCTAATATTCTAAAACCCAATTAAGCCCATAAGGCAAATAGTTCGTGCAATCTCTCCTTGTGCTTACTACCCGTTGACTGAAGACTAACGCGTTTTCCTAAGGACACTCCGGAACAAGTGCTTGGGATTCTCTTGGGAAAACTCAAACCGGCCCGAACAGCAGCAGCCTAGTCCTTACTAGATGCCCCTTCTAATGTGTGTGTGTGTGTACATACATATATATATATATATATATATCTATACATATCTATATCTATACATATATATATATATATAGTGGCCTGAAAATCCCAGTAGGTTCCAATTTCGTATCAGGGCTCTACACCAATAGGAAAACAAACCCCGTCAGACCTGCATCTCAACTCCGGCAACTGACAGGCTCCTCTTTTTCGCCTCAAGAGACGCTCATAGCTCACATCGGTCCTGTACAAGAAACCCCAAACCCTAAATCGCTTCCCAAAGAGCCTGCCCGGCATCGATCCACGAAACCTAAAGGAACCAGAAAGGCCACGATTCGGGACCCTGAACCCGAGGTTTTATGACGGAGGGGCTGCATGTAAGCCTCAAGATCCAAGAACCAAACGTTCAGTTCATGTCCGAAGCTGGGCAGGTAGCCACACTGGTGTGTTGCAATTCAAACGGAGCCAAAACAGAGCCTATAGGGTTGGGGCATGTCAACGGAGTTCCTCAAAAGAGATGCACCTAAGCGCCGGTCGTTTGCCGGTCTCCTCCAAGCATAATCAGTTCGTAGGCGTCTCCTACGAGCGAGAGCACCCAAGAAAAGAAGTCCGACCATCAGTGGCTATTGTAGCCGACGGGCGTCGGAAACGTGCTCTATGCGCATTAAAACATGCTGGGGTGCCACGGCAACAACCCTGTGCGTGGCACGACCGGTCAGTCCACGTTAACTAATATGCAATCCATACTGCCGAGCAATCATGTCGGCTGCCTTCTCGCCGATCATAATGCAGGCGGCCTGCCATCAGAAGGGAAACTACTGGGCTTTGAAGTAACCAGGGAGAAAAAAAAGACTTTTTGTTCATAATTGGTCCCCTTTAAGTACCAGGTCCCAAACAAGGATTAAAGTATGGTACTCCAAAGCCCAGAATTGGGTAGTAGTTGCGAACCTAGAGCTCCTATATAAGTCTTTGCACGCTCTGTTACTAGGTCTGAAACTCTGGCGTACCGCTGTGCTCAGCTCCTCGCTACTTAGAGAACCAGCCTAGTAAAAAGGGCTCTATGTGAGGCAGCCTCATAGTTACTTCCAACCCCAACTTAGGTACTCATAACTTACCTTACCTAGTCCTGTGATCCTCGAAGTGTTGGGTTTTGACAGTCTCGTCCTTGCTAGCCTAATGTTGCTGCTCTTGTTTTTTGTGCAGGCAGCAGAGCCCCACAAGGATTCACTGTCCTACCGTTGATGATATAAATCCTGCATTGCCCATAATACGGAATATACCACAATTCCCATAGTTTAGGGTCCTGAAGGTAATGCAGGATTAATATCATCAACCGTACCTCGTAGAGCGATCTTTGCTCAGTTTTCTCATAAGACAAGCAACCACGAACCTACACCCCGACTTCAACGCCGAATTTTGTGGGGGCTGTGTGCAGTTTATGTACGTAGATTAGGGACGCGTCTCGGAAATCCATCGACAACGCCATAATCTGCGGAGGCCGGAGCAAAAATATCTATTTCGCCTCTGTTTCGGGGAAGCAAGCTGCCAATATTTAGCTGTTTCTGGGAAAGCGCCCGAGCCTGGGGTTGGCGTTCGCGGACGCTACTACACCAAAGAGAACCCGCTGCACAAAATCCCTACAAAGCACTCGTAGGCTCCTTGTAACCGCCCGCACAACAAAATGTCCGAATGCCTCTGAAAGCCAGAAGCCGCAAGACCATGAAGATGTCTTAGGACGTGGGGGTTGTAGGATTTAGGGTGGAAGGTTTAGGGTTCAGTGTTTATAAAGGCTTAGTTTAGGGCTCAGGGCTATGGGTTTATAGTGTTTAGGGTGTGTCATGGTCGGGTTTATGGACCCAGAGACCATGCTACATCTGGGTGTTCACATGTGCTGTTCTAGGGTTTAGGGCGTCGTGTTTCAAGTTGCAAACGTAAGTCCAGAAACCAGACAGAGGATTCAGGTGACCTGGGTGTTGCCGGACAGGGCATCTGGCATGATGCTTGCATCCGCCACCCGCAGCCCATCCACCTGCACCAGGCACAAAGGCTCCAGAACCAGGACGCGCGACTAGGGCTGAGGGTTCGGTTCAGGGCTTAGGTACCAGGTTTAGAAGCCTCGCTGTTTCTTAAAGCTGCAACGCTGTCTGCACCCTTGCTCTTACAACATGACAACATTTTCAATACTCTCTCGGAGATTCACTAACAAAATAGAAAAAGTACCTCCAAGAACACTAAAGTGCTAGGCACACGACACATCCACTTTTCAAGTCTGCGCCTGAAATACACGGCACTCCTGGTCCACGACTGTGTTGAGTGCACAGGTTGCCACAGGATGATAGATCGTCCTTTGGGACCAGGAAGCAGGGCTTCAAGGTTTCAGACAGTTTTAGGCATTTAGGGTTGGGAGACTTGGGGTTGTAAGGTTTAGGGAGTCCGGACTTTAGCTTTGAGGGCTGTAGGCGTAGGGGTCTTTAGCGCATGAGGGTTGAAGAGCATGCCTGGGATTGCATGGGACCATTGCGCGTGATCTGTTCTGGGCGACGGAAACCCCGGGGGATGCGTTGAGCCGCAAATCGACAGGTCCTGAACTCTTACTATCCCGCAGTGCCCGGGGAATGTTGAAGACTCTTCTTGTTGGGTTCCCCAGAAGCCGCGGGACAGTAGTGGTGCCGTTCCCTTTCTTGGACTACTCAGTGTCATTTCAGGCTCTGTTTGGGAAGATCTCCAAAAAGGAACAAACACGCGGCGGTCTCGAGTTGAGGCTTGAGTTTGGGGTGGAAGCAGAACTATGCCCACTAGGCCTTTCAGTTTCAGTTCTGCGCTGCGTGGAAACCCTTCACATTCAAAATGCTCCTATGGGTGAAGACACAGCGTGAGAGCTCTGCGACTCAGCATACACTGACTATGGGTTGTAATCTAGGACTACCTTAACCCCAAGCACCCTTTTAAGGACTCATATAAAGAAAACATGCTAAGGAACTCCAAAGGGTAGGATCCTAAGGGTCTGGGTATATGCTTGACAGCTTCGGAATTCTGGAGTAATGGTTAGTTTTTGAAGCATAGAAGGGCTCATGGGGCTCTGGACTAGGCCATGAACCTCAATCAGTGGGAAACCCAAAACCCCATAAACCCTACTTAGAGGATCATTGGACTTAGTAACTGGGGATATAAGTACGGTAACTATACTTATAACTACTTATAACCCCAATTAAGGTATTTATAACCTTACTTACTAAGTCCCATGATCCTCCAAGTAGTTCTCTATCATTGGAATCATTGGGAGCTCTGAATTTCAGCGCGGTCTCTGCGCATAGGAGCGAATCCAGGCCTGGCGCTGTGGTCTCGCAGGGCTTTGGGGCTTCGAACACAGGATTCGGGGTTGAGGGGTTTGCAAGCTCTGACCATAAGCCCTAAACCGTACAAGCCCTCAGCCCAACTAAAGAACCATGAACAAGCCTGCAACAAGCCCGATGAAACCATGGAGTCGGTCTTTAAACCACTGCAGTAGGGTTTAGGGCTTAGGGTCATGACAGGCCTTAATCACCCTGATACTGTGAGGGCAGTTCGCTAAATTAGGGTTCCCCTTTAGGTCCTTGAAGTAATACGGCACCCTTATAAAAAAAAAACAGGACCCTAGAAGTGGTTCTTTCTTGGTTGTTCTACCCATATACCGGCCTTCAGAATTATAAAAAGCAGTTGAAATATGCAATACTACAGCGATAAAAAGGAAACCCCGAGGGAAAGTGCTACTACAGATGTAGGCCCCCGAAATACCCCATCTTCGCTGAAAGCAAACTCAAATATACCCCCAGAGCCCTAACCACCAAACCCCAAAACAACCCAAACCCCAAAACCCGAAAACCCCCAGCCCTACTATAAAGCCAGCGCGCCCTAAAAACATACCCCAAACTCTCAGAAATCGCTAAACCAAAGGCCCCAACCCTGAAACCCCAAACCCTAGACCCTAAACCCCAAACTCCCAGCCGTAGCTCCCTGGCAAGAGCCGAACCGAGCCTCCCAAAGCGCATCACTCTGAAGGTCTGTGCCGAAGCGATCCGACAAGGCTTTCGGGATCAGCACCTTTAGGGCTTCAAGGGTTTGGGGGCTTTGGGGTTTAGGCCTTAGGGGTTGAGGGATTTCGGGCTTAAGGGTTTAGGAGCGTAGGCTTTAGGGTTGAGAGGTTTTCGGCGCTCTGTGGCTTAGCTTGTTATCAGAGTCTGAAACAAGTCACTTGGTGATGTTTGTGTAAGGGTTCACCAGACAGTTCCTCAAGGAATTTCAGATCAATGGTTAATTTGCGTTCTGACATATTCCCCCAAAGAAAAACTCAAACTACAAACCAATGCTAAACGTCCTAAACGCCAAAAGCCAGCGCCCAACACGAACAAAGCTCATTATGCCCCGAAAAAACCTAAACCATCTAAACCTATAGCCTGAAACCCTTAACCCGTAAGCTCCAAACCCTTGATCCCCACCAACCCCTAAACCGGCCCCAAATCCTACATCAGTCTCAAACACGAGTATGAAATCTTTACACCACCCTTTTTAAAACCCTTTTCGCATGCCACGTCGCCTACTACCCGACCTGCCCAATTCCTAAACCCAGCTACCCAAGCCCCTCGCAAAACTCGATGCTTCCTACCCCATAGTCGTTCCTTTTTGGCATTACCCTATAGGATTCTGTATATATGAACCCCAAAAAGGAACTACTTTGGGGCCTCTGGGTAGAGCTCCTATCCCGAAGACCACCACTTCCATCTTCGGGGTTTGGGTTTTACGGGTTTAGGGCTGTAGGGTCTAGGGCATAAGCGATGTCACGGCCCTGATGATCTTCCCAGACCTTCCAAAATCCTTTAATTAAGGAATATACCTTAAACTATAATAGGATCCCTACTATGATTTAAGGGATATTCCTTAATTAAGGGATTTTGGAAGGTCTGGGTTGCTAGAACTCTAGAACTCTTACAGAAGACTTCTAGAGCCCCTGAAGGTTACCCTTACCGAAGCTGAACACTAAATCCTAAACCACTAAGCCCTACCTGGACCCCAAAAGTATGTAGAGTAGTAGCCTTTTGTAGGTCTTGTGCCATTATTTTACCTATCTTGGGGGGTCTAGGTAAACAGTAAACCCCTATACCCTGAACCCCTAAACCCGAAACACACTTCTGACGTTAAGCCACTTCGAGGTCACCCAAAGCTTTCATCGACGGCTGGTCTAGGAACTTGATGCCCTCCTTGCGAGCCGGTGTTCGGGGTGTAAGTTGGGGCTTTAAGGCGAGACCCAAGAGTAACCTAGGAAGAAAAAGGGTGCCCTTTTTGGTTTAAACGGGCTTTTAAGGGAACCTGGGCCCTAGAAAAAGGGAATAAGGGCCTGCTCTAGGTCCTGGGAGGGGGTTAAGGACAGAGGTATGAGGCTTTGGCTTGGGGCGTTTGAAGGGTCTAAGGTTGATACGAACCCTTGAAACACATCTCAGATCTAGGACAGTGCCTACTGGTGGACTTGAGCACCCTAAACTCTAAACCCTAAACCCCTAAACCCTAACCCCTAAACCCTAAACCCTTCAGCTCTAGGACAGTGCCTACTCGTGGACTTGGGCACAGTGCCTGGGAGGATCTAGCTTCGTACTCCTGGCAAACCTCTGGGCATTCTATATTTGGAGGATTACTCTTTTAGGGTACTATAGGGGTTTTAAGGGTTCCTTTAAGCGTACTATAGGGGTATTAAGGGTTCCTTTAAGGGTACTATAGGGGTATCATGCGACTTAGTAAGTAAGGTTATAAGTACCTTAATTGGGGTTAGAAGTAGTTATAAGTATAGTTACCTTACTTATAACCCTAGTTACCAAGTCCCATGATCCTCCAAGTAGGTTGTAGTGCCCCATGAAGGTTACCGCCACCCCCTGCACCAACCCCTAGATCTAAAAGCTGCAAAAGCAGACTCCCAGCCAATACGTTAAGCCTCTCGTTGATCCGTAGGGACCCCACATATTACTGCATTGGCGGCCCCCCCGTGGGCCCCTCCGGCAATACATCAGATAAGCCCTAAACCCTATAGTAATACTCTAGCAGCTGGGATTTCCTTATCTATGCATGCTTCTCCCCACACCGAAGCTACCTATATTGGGAGTCCTTTGATATCTGAGCCAATGAGGTCGAGTTTCGTGCCAGGGTGCTAAGGGTTTAAGCTTGTGTGGGGTCTGAGGGAGCACTAGACCTGATCACATTCCCCTACAATCAAAAGGCGGACAACCTAAACAGGGGTTTGGAGACCCTCAGCCCCATACCCCAAATCAAGAGACAGCCCCCAAAATGGAACACGACACTTGAAGCCTAAGGGTCTCGGTGAGTGTTTCGAGTTTAGGGTCTGGGTCTAGGGCTATAGGGTTTAGGCTTAGAGACTGTTGCAATCCAGGTTCATGAGGCTATTACTGAGCCTCCCCAAAGCTTGAAATGAACCTCCTCCGATGTGCTGTGCTCAGGTGGCTACATCCCACACCCTAACCCTAAGGCTCCATGTACCCATATAGTATATACTGAGGCCTTAGTATCTATATAGGGACCCCTTTAAGGCTTAAGTATCTACTACAATGGAGCCTTTGGGTAAGTAATCGTTCAGGGCATTCGATTGCGAGGGCGAGTCTCCTTGCAGGTGGCAACATACATCGCGGCATCTGCCTCTGTTGCGACATGAATAGGGGTGCCTTATTGTAGGGGGGGGGTCCTGATAGTAAGGATCCTACTATTTCGGGTACTATATTAAGGTCCATGATTTTCGGAATTGCAGTGAGCCTATACCGCACATATTCAATCCCTAACTGTCCGCATGTTATTTCAGGGGCGCTCCGGGGTTTGGTCTTCCTGGGTGGTCTCGGGCCAAGGGAGTGTAGGGCTCACAGCAAAACACAGAGACAGTGACTGGATCGATGCATGAATCCACATACGAAGTCCTGTTCGAAGGATGGCTCTCACTCACGGAAGCTTAACGCTAAATCCGCTAAACCCAGACCTTCCAAAATCCCTTAATTAAGGAATATACCTTAAATCATATTAGGGATCCTATTACAATTTAAGGTATATTCCTTAATTAAGGGATCTTGGAAGGTCTGGGCTTAACGCTAAATCCGCTAAATCCTATACCTTACGCAGCGCTCAAATTCGTCTGACGGTCCGGACGAGACCTCGGCCTAACTTCACAGATTTGGTGGCTGTTTTGAAGCTTCCAGTTTCGGTCTTGTGCGGGTTGACAGAAGGGTATGTATGTATGTGTGTGTGTATATATGTATATATATATATATATACAAATATGTATATATATATATATATATATGTATGTATGCATGCATATATGTACGTACATCTGCATTGCAAAACTATCCTTGATTTTGGGCCTCGTGGGTCAGGTAGTTGTGCTGCACATGCACATCCTGCCCGGCCAAGCGAACTTCACCTGCATGCCAACACCAGGATCCGCAAGGCATTACTTACCTTTGGCTAGTAGGGAATGGAGGCATGGGGTACAACTATAACTACTATTATAGTACTACCACTTTTCCATTCCCTACTAACCGAAGGTAAGATTAAACCTAACATAATATTGGGTACTTTTGGCATCCTAGAGAGTACTTGCGGGGTCGAGGTAGGGTTGAACGAGTTGAAACAAGCTCCCGGGCGTGCAGGGCGGTTTAGTTTTGCTCGGGCTTCAAGCAGATCTTGTCTGAGCAGTAACTTTCAACTAGATACACAGAAACACAATCAGAAACGATTAGCATGGGCGTTGCAACAATAATTATACTGTACCGACATCGAATCGGTATCGTCACCGAACCGTATCCCTGCCATAAGCCTATCGCAGAAAACTACATCGCATAAACCGACACCGCATGACATTGCATCGCGGTATCGGGATTCATTGACGATTTGAGAGGCGAGGAGTAGAGCGGGTGTGGTGGGTGCGGCTGGAACGCTGGAAGGGGTATCGAAGCGCACCGTGCCACCAACACCAATACCTAGCAATGCTGTGCCGCATACAACCCCTAACAACCGCAAACCGATCGAACCGAAGCATTGCAACCATAATTAGGTCCAAACCGTGCAGCCACCCCATGATGATAATTGAAACGGAGCTGGTTTAGGGTTTATACATGTTTAGTTAGAGAAACCTAACAGTGGTGGGCATTTGGCTGGTGTAGGTGCTTAGATAAGACTCTATGACCATCAAGCACCTGAATCCCAAACTGGAACGCAGCTGTGAATTATTAAACAATTATTAAACCCTAGACCCTAAACCCCTAAACCCTAAACCCCTAAACCCCCTAAACCCTAAACCCCTAAACCCGAAAAGTGCTTCCGGGTCGCCACGACTCTCTGGCCGGTTGAAGGTGAAGAGGAGCATCCCGGCAGGCTGGCTTTCGTGGAACATCTTCTCGAAATTCCTAAGGCTTCGGGTTTTGGGTTGAGGGCTTAAGGCTGTTGTGCTCGAAATTCCTAAGGCTTCGGGTTTTGGGTTGAGGGCTTAAGGCTGTTGTGCTCGAAATTCCTAAGGCTTCGGGTTTTGGGTTGAGGGCTGGGTTTCAGCGGTTCTCGGATTTAGGCTTCAGACGCTGCCAACCGAAAGCGCGATGCAGGTGTGCTTAAAGGGTCATGGGACTTAGTAACTAGGGTTATAATTAGGGCAACTATACTTATAACTACTTGTAACCCAAGTACGGTACTTATAACCCTACTTACTAAGTCCCATGATCCTCCAAGTGGGATCCATGCCACCTAGGGCATGCGGGTGAAAGTCAAACCTATACCGAACTTAGAACCCTAGCAAAAATTAAAATTTTAGCTGTTTCTTAGGGACTATAATAACCAAAGATTAAAATTTATTTCAAAGTACCCCTAAGACCCTAAACCCTAAACCCCAAAGCCCTAAACCCTAAACCATAAACCTGTAGATGCTGACACCAATGCAAAGCTCTGCAGGTCCTAGCCATAAGCCAGAAAAACACCCAAACCCAGAGACTCCAATACCCCTTAATTAGGGAATATTCCTTAAACTAATATTATGATTTAAGGTATATTGCTTACTTAAGTTCTCCGGGTGACGGTTTAGGGTTTAGGGCTTTGGTATTAAGGATCCTACTATAATTTAAGGTATATTCCTTGTTTAAGGAATATTGGAGTCTCTGGGAACCCCTGTGCGGAAAATGTGCGACACGGCCTCTTTTAATCGCCTATGACCCCCGGTTCTGACGGGTTGTGAGAGGATTTACGGGGTCTTGCCGAGGTGGGGGGACACCGGGGGCGGCACTAAGGCGGCTTTTTGCGCCGATGAGCACCCCCCTCCTCGCCCGTATTCCTCCCGTCAGGGCGACAGTGCCTGGCGTACTCTTTTCCTTTTTTCTCTTCCCAAAGGCGCTTCCACCCCTCCCGGAGGTCTTTCGCTTTCCATGCCTCGTGCAAGGTTTTCGTGCTGCAATCCCAGACCCCCCGTCTCGTTCCGAGATTGGGGGTCTGGCTTGTTGCCTTCTTCCACGCCTCCCGTAGGTCTTTCGCTTTCCATGCCTCGTGCAAGGTTTTCGTGCTGCAATCCCAGACCCCCCGTCTCGTTCCGAGATTGGGGGTCTGGCTTGTTGCCTTCTTCCACGCCTCCCGTAGGTCTTTCGCTTTCCATGCCTCGTGCAAGGTTTTCGTGCTGCAATCCCAGACCCCCCGTCTCGTTCCGAGATTGGGGGTCTGGCTTGTTGCCTTCTTCCACGCCTCCCGTAGGTCTTTCGCTTTCCATGCCTCGTGCAAGGTTTTCGTGCTGCAATCCCAGACCCCCCGTCTCGTTCCGAGATTGGGGGTCTGGCTTGTTGCCTTCTTCCACGCCTCCCGTAGGTCTTTCGCTTTCCATGCCTCGTGCAAGGTTTTCGTGCTGCAATCCCAGACCCCCCGTCTCGTTCCGAGATTGGGGGTCTGGCTTGTTGCCTTCTTCCACGCCTCCCGTAGGTCTTTCGCTTTCCATGCCTCGTGCAAGGTTTTCGTGCTGCAATCCCAGACCCGTCTCCCCGAGGGGTCTGGCTTGTTGCCTTCTTCCACGCCTCCCGTAGGTCTTTCGCTTTCCATGCCTCGTGCAAGGTTTTCGTGCTGCAATCCCAGACCCCCCGTCTCGTTCCGAGATTGGGGGTCTGGCTTGTTGCCTTCTTCCACGCCTCCCGTAGGTCTTTCGCTTTCCATGCCTCGTGCAAGGTTTTCGTGCTGCAAAGACGTGCTGCAATCCCAGACCCCCCGTCTCGTTCCGAGATTGGGGGTCTGGCTTGTTGCCTTCTTCCACGCCTCCCGTAGGTCTTTCGCCTTCCATGCCTCGTGCAGGGTGCTGCAATTCGCAAGGTTTTCGTGCTGCAATCCCAGACCCCCCGTCTCGTTCCGAGATTGGGGGTCTGGCTTGTTGCCTTCTTCCACGCCTCCCGTAGGTCTTTCGCTTTCCATGCCTCGTGCAAGGTTTTCGTGCTGCAATCCCAGACCCCCCGTCTCGTTCCGAGATTGGGGGTCTGGCTTGTTGCCTTCTTCCACGCCTCCCGCAGGTCTTTCGCCTTCCATGCCTCGTGCAGGTTTTCGTGCTGCAATCCCAGACCCCCCGTCTCGTTCCGAGATTGGGGGTCTGGCTTGTTGCCTTCTTCCACGCCTCCCGTAGGTCTTTCGCCTTCCATGCCTCGTGCAGGGTTTTCGTGCTGCAATCCCAAAGCCCTGTCTCGTTCCGAGATTGGGGGTCTGGCTTGTTGCCTTCTTCCACGCCTCCCGTAGGTCTTTCGCTTTCCATGCCTCGTGCAAGGTTTTCGTGCTGCAATCCCAGACCCCCCGTCTCGTTCCGAGATTGGGGGTCTGGCTTGTTGCCTTCTTCCACGCCTCCCGTAGGTCTTTCGCCTTCCATGCCTCGTGCAAGGTTTTCGTGCTGCAATCCCAGACCCCCCGTCTCGTTCCGAGATTGGGGGTCTGGCTTGTTGCCTTCTTCCACGCCTCCCGTAGGTCTTTCGCCTTCCATGCCTCGTGCAGGGTTTTCGTGCTGCAATCCCAGACCACTCGTCTCGCTCCGAGATTGGGGGTCTGGCTTGTTGCCTTCTTCCACGCCTCCCGTAGGTCTTTCGCTTTCCATGCCTCGTGCAAGGTTTTCGTGCTGCAATCCCAGACCCCCCGTCTCGTTCCGAGATTGGGGGTCTGGTTGTTGCCTTCTTCCACGCCTCCCGTAGGTCTTTCGCTTTCCATGCCTCGTGCAAGGTTTTCGTGCTGCAATCCCAGACCCCCCGTCTCGTTCCGAGATTGGGGGTCTGGCTTGTTGCCTTCTTCCACGCCTCCCGTAGGTCTTTCGCCTTCCATGCCTCGTGCAAGGTTTTCGTGCTGCAATCCCAGACCCCCCGTCTCGTTCCGAGATTGGGGGTCTGGCTTGTTGCCTTCTTCCACGCCTCCCGTAGGTCTTTCGCTTTCCATGCTGCAATCCCAGACCCCCCGTCTCGTTCCGAGATTGGGGGTCTGGCTTGTTGCCTTCTTCAACCCCTCCCGTAGGTCTTTCGCCTTCCATGCCTCGTGCAGGGTTTTCGTACTGCAATCCCAGACCCCCCGTCTCGTTCCGAGATTGGAGGTCTGGCTTGTTGCCTTCTTCCACCCCTGCCGTAGGTCTTTCGCCTTCCATGCCTCGTGCAGGGTTTTCGTGCTGCTATCCAGGGCGTAGTCTGGCTTGTTGCCATCTTCCGCCCCTCCCGTAGGTCCTTCGCTTTCCATGCCCGTGCCGGGTTCTTGCGGCATTCCCAGAACCACCGTCTCGCTCCGAGATTGGAGGTCTGGGTAGCTGTCATGTCCGCACACCGCGTAGGTCTTTCGCTTTCCGTGCCTCGTGCCGGGTTTTCGCGCTGCTATCCCGGACCCCCGTCTCGCTCCGAGATTGGGGGTCTGGCTTGTTGCGATCTTCCGCCCATTTCGCAGGTCTTTGTCCTTCCATGCCCGTGCAGGGTTCTTGCGGCAATCCCAGACCTTCCGTCTCGCTCCGGGATTGGGGGTCTGGGTTGTTGTCGTATCCGCACCTCCCGCAGGTCTTTTGCTGTTTTCTGGCTGCAATCCCAGACCCCCCGTCTCGCTCCGAGATTGGGGGTCTGGCTTGCGGCCATCTTCTGCACCTCCCTCGGTCTTTCGCCTTCCATGCCTGTGCAGGGTTTCGGCCACAATCCCAGACCCCCGTCTCGAGATTGGGGGTTTGGGTTGTTGTCGATATCTGCCTCCCACAGGTCTTTCGCTCCTCTTCTTATGTGAAACTTGGCTGCATTAGATACACGCCCTCTCGAACCCCTCGCGGAGAGCGGCTATGACGATTACGGAGCCGCTCGGAGATGCTTGGGGGGAAGTGGGTTGCCGGCCGCAGTAACGTCAGTGGGCCACTCCTCCTCCTCCTCTTTTAATCGCCTATGAGAAGTGGTCTAATAGTGATCGAGATGTACGATGGAGTTGAGTCTTCGGTTTTGCAGCCCAGTGCTAATTTCGGGAGCAATACCAACAGCGGTTCTTGCAGAAGCAACGAGACATACTAGTGTGAAGAGTAGAACAGCGACAGCATCTAAGGCCGGCAATGGAAGACCAGCATCAACGTCAGAAATCCATATGCAAGTTCATGGTGACAGAAAGAGGAGCGACAGACAGACAAGCACATATATAGTTATATATATATATATGTATATATATATACATATATACGTATGTACATATACATACACACAAACCTACTTAGAAGGAGGAGACACACGATCATATGCAAGAAAGTAAGTCAAAGTCATAACTGTCATAACTTGCTAGCCAGGAAACCGGTGACCCCCACCGAAGAAAACTCGAAACACAGAGAACACAGCCGAAAACAAAGGTTGGAGACGAACAACAGATCATGCCAAGTTTCCAGTTGTCCTCAGTGAAGTCGTTGATGCCGAAGTTCATACTCCAAAGGCTAGGAAGGGAGGTGCAGCAGCAAAAGGAGATCTGACCGTCCTCATGAGACTTCTGAACTTACTGCGACATGTGCTCGTTTTAGGGCGCTTGGGGTTTTGAGTTCATATGCCTCATAGAGCTTCAACTTAGGGAATCTGGGGGCTGGGGTTTTTGGTATGCCCCAAGCTCCTGTGCCGTGGGGTTTGAAGGCTTGAGGCCGCTGCTGTAGAAGGCGCTGGCTTCGTAAAGGCCGGTGGCCGCCAGGCCTTCAACGGTCGTTGGTTTGGGGTTCAGGGCTTCTGTGAGGGTTGGGTGTTGTCGACGCGTGTTTGATTTGGGGATACGATAGTTTGCGGGTTTATGACTTGGAGCAATCATTGAAAGAGGTTGTACAATGGCAACACTAGTGGTTCTAAAAAGGGTACGAACCACTAGGGTTCAAACGGTTTAGGTCTTGGTTTG